TGTTCATGTAATTGGCACTAACTCACGGTCCAATCTACAAGGTGTCAATTGAACGGAAGTTGTGACATAATAAACTCTCCAACATTGGTGAAAGAGCTCGTACATGACCAAGACATAACATTTGCCAATTGGAATCCTACTATTGCAGCAAAAACTTTCTCATATGGTGGAAAGGATATTGCATTACAATCATATGGTCCCGAGTGGCGCTTGCTGTGTAAAATATTCGTGCAGGAGATGCAAAGCAATGCAAATCTTGATGCTTTTTATTCTATGAGGAGAAATAAGGTCAAGAAGAGTGTTAACGAAATGTTCAGAAAAACTAGCAAACCTATTAATACGGGGGAATTGGCATTTTCAACTGCGATCAATAAGATAGGAGAAAATGTCATTGATATTGGGATCCAGCTTCGAGCGGCAGCCTCAGAACTCGTCCTCAGATTGTTAAATTGTCAATATATATATATTTCAATTTAAAAATTTAAACGGTTAGGTAAAACTTCAGGATATGATTTATACTACCTTATACTTAATTAATTAGAAAAAAAATAGAAATGTTAGAATTTGAACTTTTAATCATTAAATTAGCAAAACCCCGATAACATGTTAAAGAATATCTCAACCTAAAAAATTAAACTATTAGATAAGACCTTAAAATATGATTTATATTATTTTTTTTAATATAGATTTTTTTTCCCCAAACCTTGCACGAGCTGATTATACAAGGAACAGAGAAGAAAATGAAGAAGGCATCACAAAGGATCGAGAACATTTATGATTTTGTCATAGATGAATGGATTAAAAAAGACATTTCAAGAGTTGAAGAGGGAAAAAATAATCAAAGAAAGTACTTCATGCATTTCCTATTGGGGTTTAAAGAACAAGACAGTGGGAGATCAATTTCCCGAGAACAAATTAAGGGTTTGCTTGTGGTAACATTTCTACTGCCTTCTCTTTGCTTATAAATCATCGGCAAGAAAAATGGACGGCGACTATCATACGTTTTATTGAATATGGGCTGTATATTGAACCTTTATAGAATCTTTTTCGGCTTTGGTGGGAGACTCCCAAGTCTATAATTTTTTGATGAGTCGCACTCTCATTACTCTTCTTCTTCTTCTTCTTTGGGTTTGATAATTAAGAGGGCCATGTACCTGTGCTTTTGAGTTGCATTCTCTCTAAACTTCTTTTTTTTTTTTTTTTTTTTTAAGGATTTGACAGGATTTTTTGTTAAAAAACTATTTTAATCCAAAAATTTAATGTAATTTGATCTCATGGTTATTGGATTATAGAGTTTTTGATATATATCAAATAATTATTTCAACCTAAAAATTTAACATGTTGAATGGGACTTCACAAATAATTTTATTTCTTTGATAGATAATGGAAACCCACAAATCTATATTTGTCTGATAGAATCTCCATATTTTTATTGTAAGTTAAGTAGAAAAATTGTTTAGATGCTAACCTATATATTATTTAAAAATTCCGATATTGTATAAAGGCAAATGATTAATAACTTGCATGACAAAACATTAGTTAAAATCCAAGTGGAGCATTCTTTTTTATTTTTTAAAGTATCCCCGATAATGCATCTAAAAAAATATCTGATAATTTAAAGAAAACATAAAGGATTTGAGGCAAACGAACAGTTCATTTGTTTCAAATCACTAATCATTTATCGTTCATGGTTGCATTTTTTATAATTCTCGACAGTGGTATTTTCATGAATTTTGATAGTTTTGGGTATTATTTACAAATTTTACTCTTTATTTCATTTTAGTCCTTTATTTTTTAAAAAAATATTTTTGGTGTGGATATATATGTAATGATCATGTAACAATAATGGTTGTTATAGACCGGTTAAAACAAAGCATCTTTATTGTCATTAGCCATTATCCCTAAATGGTATCTATCGAAATTTCTTGGCGTAGGGGTATTTATGGCCCAATAATACAGGGCTGCCTTGACAATTATTTGCACGTTGCAAGGGGTAGCTTTTTTCACTAAGAGAAAGTAACTGAGTAAATCAACAAGATATGAATATTCGCAGTTGTTTAGATCTTTTTTTTTTTTTTTTTGAAAGACCGATCGCAGGACACTAACTTTCGAGGATAGGATATTGAGTTACCAGTTAAAGTTCAATTTATTATTATTTAAGAGGAAATCTCATCAGGATAATGAATTCAATATTTAGGTCACACGGCAACCCACTCCAATGGACAAGTAGGATCATAGGATATAATATAGATTAATACTAGCTGGTTGCTTGAGCTACATTTTTAATGTTTTACATAAATTTTTTGTTTAAAAAAACATAAATAAAATAAAAAATTATAATAATTTTAACTAAAATATTAATCAAGAATTAAAAAAAAACTTTAAAAATATATTTTTTTATAATGTTGTATTTCAAAAAAATAAAGTTATAATTAATGAACGAGACTTTTATAAAAATTAACAAATGAAAAAAAATTCTTATTTAATGCTAATGAAAAGATTAATTTTTGAAATATCCGCAAAGTGTTGCGGGCAAATAAAAAAAATCATTTCAAAATTTTATAATTTTTTCTTTAATTTTTTTATTTAATTATTACTATTTTTTGTGTGTTTTTTTTAAATTTATTTAAAAAAACATGATTTAATTTTTTTTATTCAGACATTCTTAAATAAAAACTTGTAATAATTTAAACCTAAAATATTAATTAAGAATTCAAAAATAAATACTTTAAAAATATATTTCTTTATAAGAATGTATCTAAAAAATAAAGTTACAATTAATGTATAGACTTGCATAAAAATTAACTAATGAAAAAATAAAATTTTATTCTTATTTAATATGGGTGAGAAGATTTTTTTTTTTTTTAAGTATATCCATTTAATCTTTATATATTTATTTATAAAATAATGATCAATAAAATTAGCATAAAAAAATGTATTTGAATAATTGGTTTGTTCCTTTAAAAAATTATTTTAATTATTTATTTCAAATAAATTGGTTCTATAATGTGAAAAAAAAATTCATAATGTTATAAAAGAAATCGTGACAATAGTAGAATTGAAGAAAAAACTAATAGAAAAATGTTTAAATTTATTTAATAAACTACTTACAAGTTAACTATTTTTTCTTTAATGTTTTTTTTTGTTTTATGTTGCAAAATATTAATTCCACTCAGTAAAGTTATTATGTAAAAAACAATATATTAAATTCTTAGATTTATTACGGATTAACTGTGCAATAACACAAAACACAAATCTTTACTATTTATTTATTGATTGATATTATGGATTTATTTTTTCAAATTAAATAATTAAAATTATGTTTTGTTGAACTAATAAATTATTCAAATACATTTTTTTTCTGATATTGTTGATAATTTTATGAATAAATATATCAAAATCAAATATATTGATTTTAAAACCTAATCTTCTCATCAACATTAAAAAAAAATCAAAATTATGTTTTTATTTTTATACAAGTTTATACATCAATTGTTACTTTATTTTAACGACACAGTCTTATACAAATAATGTCATTTTTAACGACACGAGTCTTATAGTTCACGTGTGTGAGAAGTCTCCTCAAAACATGCGTCGTAAACACATGTTGCTGTTTTCATTGGACCACGTCATTTTCACATGAAAATTGATCAATAGAACAAAAAAATTTATTGATGACTATTTTTGTTTGACAAAAAAATTATAGTAATATAGAACCGGCCAGTTAGCTTCCAAAAGTTATTTGAAAAACTTAATTGAAGATGTGGACAAATGAAGTAGTAGAAATGTCAAATATGTCTAGGGTTCACAACAAGAATAATTTTAAACAAATGCACTTAAAAAAAAAAAAGGAGTCTTAAAATTATGGGCCAAACTTCTTTTGTTTTACTGATGGAAAGATGAATCGGTAGGAATTTTAGTTTGTCAATTAGAAGTTTCGATTTTCAGTCTTTTGTGAGAGATTTGACCCATATTTTAAAGATGATAATTTGATTCCTCAATTTGTGGTTAATTTGGTTTCTAACATTAACGGTTATTTTTTTTTATATTTATTTTCGGGTATGGAGCAAGAAATATTGCCACTAATTTCTAAAGCAATTAAAAATTAGTTCCTTTAGTTAAAAAAAATAATCTTATAACTTAATTCTTTTATTTTTTTAATTTAGTTTTATTTTTTATTTTAAGAAATAAAAAAATTAAGTAAAAAAAACGAAGGATTGATGGAAAGATGATATATATATATATATATAGATGAAATAATATTAAATTAAAAATAATCAACATTGATTAAAAAAATTTTAAAATAAAATGAGCAAATTAATTCATTTTTTGAAAATAGAGGGACTAACTTCCTTTTTCTCCTGATTCCTAGCCTAAATATATATACATATCCCTGCATTTTTTGGGCCAACAGACGCCTAAGTCCTAATTGTAAGACAAATGGGCCAGTGACCCATCAATTACTCATTTCGTAGACCACCAAGCCTACCTTCACTTCATATAAACACTTTCAAAATAGCACAGCATTTTATTTTATTTTTTTCCCAAATAGATTGTTTTATTTGATTTCTATTATAACATAACAGCATATTATGTTCATATTTCTCTAATATATATATATTTTTAGAATTATATTTGAACAAATTTTTAGAAAATAGATTTTAATTGATATATTTTAAGAAAATATACTATTTAAAGTTTTGATCAACGGATATAAATAAAAAAAAGACTATTTTTTAAAACGAAAATAAAATAAAATAAATGATCATGGTAAAGATTGCAATCCACACAAAACCTTATAATCTCACTCATAATTTATTCAATGAAAGGTTTAGAATACATCACTAAATTCTAGGCTCTATCACTAATTACCTCTGATTGCATATACAATCATAGATACGTGCATATATATATATATATATCCTTTTATGTCAACAAGCTAATAATTACCAAAAAGGGGGCATTTCTAGAAGCTCTATTACTAGTTAAATTATTAATAGTTAGGATAGCTTCCAAGCTTTACCACCGTTGATGTTGAATTTCTTAAGCCTTCCAAAGAACATGACAAGAATGAGGATAAATTTTCCCATGTTACTCCACCTTCCAACAAATCCAGTCCATGCATCTTTGCACAAGTTGTCTGGTTCAAGTTGTCGTTTGCAGCTGTAGCCAGTTGAGAACCCAACATTTCCATATGCACTACAAAATGATTAATTTTACAATATAGAGTTAATGATTTATAGAATGCAAACAATCATTTGTTGATTATAATAACAAAAATGATTTGGACTATCGTGTATAAACCTTATCCAAATCATTTTCCTTTAACAAAAATTGAAAAATTTGCCAATATATATACCTTACGACTTCTATGGTGATGTTGAGCACATTAAAGTTGAGGGGGTCTTTCTTCAACTTTTCTCTCTCTGTGATACAAATGAGAATCACAAAGATGACTAAGGAAGATAAAGGTGAGAGCAATAGGCACTGAACCAAAGACGTTCTTTGTTTTTTGCATTTTTGGTCAGTTCCTGAAACAACCTCTGCTTCCTGTTGCTTTAATGGCAAAAATGAAGTGTACGCTGGGAGATACCTGCAAAGACAAAATATTGTCTAATCATCAAGATGGATTGAGTAATGGATCCAAGACTATAAGGATAGGGGGCAGTCATGATTCTAGAGGTGGGTTATTCGCTACAACTCCTGCAACCAACTTTTTTGTTTTTGCTTTAAGAATTAAGTTTAACTCCATTTCCAAGATCCAACTCATAACCTCTCTTCAAAAGAAGAGTTTTGCTACCAGTAAAGCTAGAACTCATCAATACAATTAATAATTATAACTCAGAAGTTGAATGATACTGTTGGAAGTACTAAAGTCTTAAGTTTGAATCTTAGTTTGTCAATCTGTCATTAATCTAAAAGCGAAAAACCTATTGCTACTCTTGCTCTTAGTTATGCTACATCATGGTCAAACCTAGCTCAGCACTAGACCTTATTCTTTTTCTTTTTTTTTTTCTTTTTTTGTCTTTTAGAGACAACTTCAAACTTTTGATTCAAGTATACGTTCTTGAGGAACCTAAGAATTTTAGAAGAAAAGAAATACCAGAAATAATTTGCTTCAAACTGAAACGATTTTGAGCTTGAAAGGAGCAATACACTAGCAACAAGAATCAATTATCTAATGATAATATACTTTTGATAATCTTCTAGTAGTGTTCAAGGCAGGATTGATTAATTAATTATATTCTTTATGTTTGATCAAAATGATGTGTTTGACTTCTTATGATGCTTTTGGGACAATTAAATTAAATAGGGTTTCTACTCGATCCCTTACCAACGGAATCCAACCTTTATATGCATAGCCATACACGAGAATATATATAGTGGAGAGGTCAGAATGAATGAACAGAAGCTTTGGCAAATTAACTAAAGGGCATGCAAAGTGGGAAAGATATTAAAAAAAATCACTAAGTGTGTTGATTGACAATATGTAGACCATCCGGCACACATTATGTAATCACCAAGTTGTCAAGTGGATATCTGACTCAAGAAAGGTTTGAACCATAATTAATGTTTTTGTGGGTTGTGCACAATGTAATTAATTAAACATCTACATATGGAAAATCTTAAAGTACGGGTCATAAAAAAAATGGCCACTTGTTTGTATGATCCAACCATGGCTAAGTATTTTCTGAATGGGTCTGAATTTCTTGAAAAGCAAAAAAAATTATAATAAAATTAAGAGTCCATGGTTAAATTTGCTTTTATATAATAAAATAATTCTTTAATTTGTCTTTATAATAGTCTTAATCGAACTATTTTTTTTATTTATTGAAATGAAGGATTTTATGCTAAGACAGGACTTGATTGAGTTTCGATTCATGGCAAAATTTTTAAGCTAAATTATCAAAATCAATTACACGATTTGCATATAAAAATCTTTTATTTGATTGATTTGCAAAGGTAATTTGAAAATAAAAATAGTCATGTACAAATCATGTGAATAATTTTGATAGTTTGACCTAAAATCTTAATAAAATGATATATTGAAAATTTAACATATATTTAAAGATGAAATTGCCTAAATTAAAGAGGCAAGAATAAATTTTTGTTTTTTTTTAAAAATAGATTTAGCTATTAATCTTAAAATTAATGGTTTTTAAAGATAATATTAAAGAGACAAAGAAGTACGGCATACTCAAAATGTTGGGGCTTGTAGCTATATGGTTGTAATATACGTTGTCAAAGTATAATCTCATTCAAAAGCTTAAGTTGTTAGGTGATGCTTCAAGATATGATTTATACTATTGTTTAACATAGATAACTAATAACTATGAGAACAAGAATGAAATAAATAACTTAGAATATTTTTGGTCTAGATCTTATATATGTATGCACCATCCATTTGGTAGAATATATAGGAATTAATGGACAGCGTATGAGATTCCCCTCCATTAATATTGTTCTATCTGGATTTGATAGGAATTTTTTGGGATTGAAACAAATAAATATGCTATTCGTTTGGAATTGCATACCACGCATTGGCCAATTTTTGGTGGCCAGTATTGTGATTCCATATCAAATATAGTGTGTTAAATTTTAAACCACGTACTTCAATTCCTAATAAACTTTTTTTAGTTCCAATTTAATTACTCATAAGCTTTAGGAAAACGAATCTTGATGTTTTAAGTAGGCTTAAAAGTTTGGTAACTGAGAATTGCAACCTTTTCTTCTCTATTTGTCTATGAAAGGACAAGCCTAACGATATGGCTTCTGATCTTGAACTTTTTCGAACAAATTATTCAAGTAATTATGTGTAATGATTCGCAAGTATATTCGTTTTTATTTTTATTTTTTTTATATGTTTGTAAACAAATTTTAGAGCAAATTAAAGAGAAAAAAGATGTTGACAATTATATTAAAGTATTTGTTTAAAAATAATATTTAAAATAATACACACACAATTAATGATACCTAACTTATATATATATATATATATATATATATATATATATATATATATATAATCGAAGATATTGAAATATTAACATATTAAAAAAATAATAAAAATTTAAACACCCGATTTTGTTAATTAGATATATTCTAGTATAGTAACCAATTTATATTAAAAAAATAGCTAAAAGCTTTAAAAATAAATAAATAAATCCTTAAAGCTTATCAAGAAACCTTTGAGTTTTAACACACACAGATCATAAGAAAATGAATTTTAAATATAATATACTCATAATAAGTTATAAAAATCTACGGTAAAAAGTATATTAAAAAAAACGATCAAATACAGCCTAGCAGTTATGTATCCATATTTGTACTTATGGTTAATTCAGTCTATATTGATAATAGGACCATAGGACCTTTTTTTCCTGCTCCACTAACCACTAAGGTTAACTCCCTAATAACGCCTGACCACTGCAGAATCCAAGAAAGAAAGAAAGACTTACATTATAACCACAAAGAGCACCAAGGTTGCTGGAGAGATGACGGAGAGATCAACAACGGATTCACCAGAATGTCTAGAATTTACAACCTGAAACAATGCACCCATCACCTTCTGATAGGAATTCATACCATCCATAGCTCCTGAATTCCACTCCGTAGAGCAAAAAAGTATAAACTGCATCATTATGAACCCCGAGACTGTAATAGCAAGAAGGCAAGAATGAGCAAAAGAGAGCAAATGGCTATAACCCATCTCCCTAGTATTCATAAGAATGTATCTGAACTCCACTTTCCTTGTGATTTTCTCCAAAACCCATATCGATAATCGCAGGCACGATGGGAATAATGTGTTTCCAAGAAGTGTTTGAGGGATGAGAATTAGGAGGAGACCTGAATTCTTCTTAAAAGCTAACATGCTCTCATTTGTAGGCACAAAACCACAGTTGGAAAAAGTAGAGGCTGTAGTGAACAAAGAAAATGTTTGTATTTTAAGGCCCTTACTGCTCAGGACTTCTCTTGCACTAGGTACAAGACTTATATACATAGCAACTAAACTAGAACCAGTAATATGAACTACTAAGAAATAACCAAAAACCACATAAGCTAGGCATTTGATGGAGTTAAGCTTTAGACTTTGGTCATTGTCTGAAGAGCTGATATTACATTCTAGGTCGAGATTGGGTGGTTTCTGATCAATCTCTAGCCCTGAAAAGGTGGTAGGTTTTGTAGGGCCATGGTAATTAGAAGCGACTCTATTTTCTTTGGTTTGTTGTTTAGAGAAATTGGACCTTGACAGGTAAAGTCCAAGGACGGAAGTGAAGACCTCTCCACCCAATAACATCAAAATGGTTATGATGATAAGTTGAGTGTTAGAGAAGACCTCCATTTCCACCGTTGACATGCTTGAAACTGTTACAGAAGAAACAGAGGTGAAGAAGATGTCAAGACTTGCAGGCGTGAATGAGCCTGCAGTTCTCGGCTTTGAAATCTTCAAAGCCAAATGTCCAACCAAGGAAAGGATTACAAAACAAGCAAGTTGAACCCAAAAAAGGTGTATTTGAAAGACTAGGGCACGAAGGAAGGACCGGACAGAACATCTGGAAGATTTATGGAAGCAACTTAGTTTGCAGGTGCAAAAGAAATTACAAAGATGCTCTAATTTCTTACCAAGAATAGCAAGGCTCTTCATCTTTACAGCTGCCAAGAAATATTTGCTTTGCTTGGTCACATCCCTTCAGTACTGGCATATGGTGTTTATAAAAGAGCAATACCGATTCTTCTAGCTAACTAGAAAGTACTCCAACTTCACTGGGATTTCACCGTGAATCTTTGGCTCCCTATCTAATCAAGCTTAGTGCAATATTAAAAAATTAATAATCAAAGATTACGAATATTCGTTATTAATAATTGCCAACTGTTATTTGAATTATTTGAATTCCGTCAATAAATAAACACAAAAAAACATGAGTCTAAATAGAAGGTTTGTTGAGTTTAATTAAGGTTTCAATTTCGTAAGGTGACATATCAGCATTGTTCACCTTGTTGAAAATAAGAAAGTCCGGGTTAAGGTAGATGACATTAGTTGGTGCATCTGTTGTGTTGGATACTTGGACATGATTGACGACTCTAATGCCTAATTCAATCACCTGGAGTTGTCCTGCATATATAGTTTTAAATTGCCAATATGGTTGAAAAAACAATATTTATATTTATCATAATAGTAAAATAAAAATAACGATCATTAGATAACATCAAATAATAATAATAAAACATTTTAAAATCGTTATATAATATAACGGTTATTATTTAAATTCATGGTCTTGCGTATTGTAACACTTAAGAAGAGCTCGTCCTATATCAAACACTTTCATTTCTCTCATCAGACCATATGTGACACTCATAATCACAGTTCAAACTCGATTATTTTTTAATAATTTATATAATTCACAAATGACATTAATTTGTTGACCAATAGTATATAAATCCTTAACTATTATAGCATTGTAAATATCAACCATCTTCTCCGAAAGAAAAGCTTTATCTAGTACAGGATTAATGATTTGGGTGATATATCTTAGGTTTTTTTTTTTCAAGCCTGGAAATTTCAAGACCAGAAATAGTAAGATTTATTCTCATAATAATAAATAAAAATAAAAAATGGATTTTTTTTTTTTTTTTTGAAAATTTCTGAGTTCAAAATAAACGTTCCATAATAAGTTGATTAATTAATTAAATAAGATGTGAGAGTTAACACTTTTCGTTGATACCCTCCAACGAATCCATTTGAATTGTATACTATGGTTTTTACAATATTATAAAGGGTCAGCTTGAGCCATGAAAAATTATAAGAAATAACATTGAGAAAGAGAAATTTTCTCTACCACACCCAAATGTTCGTTTTACATGTTTATTATTTGTACAGGAAGCACATGAAAAACATTGAGCATTTTGGTTGTTTGAAAACTATAATGTTGGATTTAATTAATTTCTTCGTTGACATAACTGTGATATTACATACAGGTTGAGTTAATTATAATTCGAATCTGAGACGAACTAGAGAACTCCAAGTATTATTGGAAATGGAATGTTCAAAATATTAAAACAAGCCCAACACAACTCTATGGCAATAAACTATTGTATTGGTCCCATCATTTTTTTTTGTAATCAAAGCCGCATTATTTTGCCTGTGTAATTCAGTCAACCTGCAAAGTTATTTGGAGCATAATGATCTTCTTTTCATGGAGAATGTAAAGAGTGATAAGGATAAGGCTTAACAGTCAATATTTTGTTTAACTTTATGTCTACTTTATATCTTTAACATGCTTATCTCTGTACAGTTAATGTTCTACTAGCTAATTAACTCTTATATATATATATATATATATATATATATATATATATAAAATTACGGTAACACAATATAATACAAGGGAGATTATTCAGTTTTATATGATATCAGAGCCGATTTAGCTTAACAGCAAAAAAAAAAAAAAAAAAAAAACATCTCCTTCAACCCGCTACTGGCATATACTGCTACTGCAATCTTTTTTTCTTGCCCATGTTCCATTCATATAATGCAGCTTCCATTCATTCCACGTACCAAATCACGCCAATCACACATTGTTAAATTCTACTCATTCCATGCCATTCATATATTGCAGCACGTAACCAACATATACTGCAGCTTCCATTCCATTCCATTCATTCCACGTACCAACACTACCCCATACCCCACGCCCAATCGGCTTGCCCTTTACTGCTAAACCTACATTGCCCCACGCCCTTCAATCACATATACCGTTCGATCAACACTGCCCCGCACCCAAAGTACCTTGCCCTCTACTGTTACAAAATATACTAGCCGTTACTGCCCAAATATACCTCTTTCACTGCTGCAAAATATACCAGCCATGCTTCACCATGTGGTCCATGTCTACTACACAATCAGACACTGCTCCTACTCCATTCGTTGTAGCCCTTGTTCCAACAGCCGCTCCATCAACACTGCCCCATTCGTCCCTTTCAAACTTTAACTCCCAGAACTTGATTAAGCTTACTCCCACCAATTTTATCCTTTGGCAAACCTAATTGTAACGCCCCCGCCCCAATCCACTTTCTACTACCCAAGTAAAAGTATCGGGCGAAGCGTGTCACGCCGACACGTCCTAACCTACTCTCAATATGATTACGCTTTGGTTCGGAAAACTAATATTACATAGCATATTAGTATGAAATAAATGTACATAACATGAATTAAATAGCTATTATCATTACGAGCAGTAACAAGTTTCTTTATCAACTCTCAAATTACGGACGGACAAAATAAAATCTAATATACATGAGCCAATTAGGAGGATCCAGCTGCGTTCTTACTACACTCGTCCTTTTCTGTTACAATATGAAAATAATAACGAGTGAGTCGAAGCTCGGTAAGCGGGGTGATGCAAATGTAATGCGGATGTTTTGTGACCGCCCACCATACTCATCGGTTTTTAGTCCGGGTATCTTAGGTAATTAGCGATCATACTCTAATGGTGATTACCGAATCATCGAATGCTAACAACGGTATTGTTCCTCGTTGTAGCTACTGTTGACGGGAATCCTTCGTCTAACGATACCGCACACGACTAGAGTACGCACACGAGCTGAACCGCTAATACCCATTAGTTCCGTTAGGTTACCAAACCTAACCATATGACTCATTTATTAATTGACTGTCTATTTCTCATACCATTCCCACAATGCACATGCCAACATGTTTACTCGTAATAGATACATCGGGATTATCGAGCCCTACGCTATTCCTATTTCCAAGTACTAGGCCCTCACAAGGTTCGATTTTTCATATTTCTATTGTCCAACTCGGACAGGATTTTGGGTACCTTGTACCTCATGTTCTAATATTCATAGAACTATCTTTCCCATAACCCACATGGTTACTAATTACTCGATCGGTTTTGTTCTGTTTAGACGACGTTATCTTTCATTGTTTGTTTTATCATTTTAGGTTAAGCTAATTCCTCAATCTAATACCTTAGACATTCCTTACGCTACTTCCGACCTAACCTTGTTTTTGTCCTCGATTGGGCCTACTTAGGCCACGTTGGCTTAGCTAACCCATTTTATACCAAATTATGCGTTGGGGCAATTGTGGCCCGACTGTTAGGGTTTGTGGCTTTTAGCTAATTTAATCCTTCTAATTCAAATTTTATTTCCTATTGGGCTCGGTTGGCTTGTTAGTCCTTAAATAAATTTTATTAGGCTCAAAAGTCCTTATTTTCTTAAGTTTAAGCCGTATGGCCCAAAAGCTGGTTTAAAGTTTTTTCTTCTTAATTTATTTGATTTTCTTGTGATTTCTTCCCATCTTACCTAATTAATTTATACATCCTTTAGATTATGATTGGATTTTAGTCTTTAAGTTTCATGGAAAGCCTAATCTTGCTTAATTTAGGTTCTTTGGTCGAATAGGTTCAAATGGGAGTCTAAATGCTTGCTTAATTCTCTCCTTAATTTATTCATTCCCACACTTAGTCATAGTCCTTAAATTATGGTCCAAATTCATCAACACATGGTAAGATATACCCTTGATTATGATTTCTTCAAGGATCACACAAATGTCTTACAAAAATCTAAACCAAGTCATTCAAACCAACCAACACAAATCAAGCATAACAATTTAAACAATAACCAAAACAAGTAAATAAATTAAGCACACAAAGAAAACGAGTTAAAGCATGAATTAACCCACTTACATTGCGTTAAGCTTTTTCTTTTTTCTTTTCCTTTTTCCCTCTTTTCCTTCTCTACTTTCCTTTCTCTCTCTGTTTTTTTTTCCTTTCTCTCCTCACTCGTTTTACCTTTCTTTTCTTTCTTTTGGTGGCTTACGGGATGGGCTCTAAAATTGGTCTAAATCCTTTCATCTTTTCACTCCTCTCTTATTTATATACTTGCCTCCTTCCTTATAGAATGGGTTATAAATGGCTAAACTTAATTGGCCAAAGTGTAAAGTGAAAGGATGACTAAGGATATAGGTGGCAGATTTGGAGAGGAAAAATAGGATGACTTGGCTCAAATGGTTTTAATGTATGGCTTAGGTGTCTAACTTGGTCCTAACCATGTCATTAGTGTAACTAAGTCCTTGAATAACTTGGTTTCATATGGCTAACTCATTTCATTGGAATGTCTATTTTGGAATTTTCGGAATTCTTCTCCCGAAATTCTAGTAGAATGCATTTCGAAACAACCCTCACCTTAATGGACATAACTCTTACTGTATATGTCCAAAAATTATCAAATTTTATAGAGGGCTAGTCGACACATAGATGAAAAACTTTCATTCTTTAAGTTTTATCTAGAAATCACCCTAAAATCCTTAAATAAATCTCGCAAGATTCGGACAGAATCTAGCTTTAAATTTCAAAAAATTTCTTTTAATCAATTTGGAAATTTTCCCAAATTAAATCCTAATTTTCCTAAAATTTTAAAATACATTTTTTATCATTATCCTACATCCTAAATAATTAGAAATACCCCAAAGGATAATTAACTAAAATTTTCTAAAAAATTTCTCTCGTTATTTTGACGTAATCGTCGAATATACCGTTATTGTAAAGTCTCTTTTGAACTCATTCATACTATTAGTTTTAAACATGTGTATAAATTTCACGAGGGTTACACTAATTCCTACAATTCTTATGCTATCATGGTCTTCTTCATCATATTGATGGCACCCAATCTCCATCTATTGCCAACATCTCTGCAGCTGACCATAATCTAGCATATACTTGTCGAGGAACACCATGATCGGTTGGTCCTTTCCTAGATTGTTGGGTCACTATCAAAGACAATCCTCCCTCTTGTGGTTGGTGCACACACGACAAGGGTAGTTTGGCTCAAACTCACTGCTGCATTTGGTTTTGGAAAATAAACTTATATCAATCATCCCAAAAGAAACTTATATCGTCTTGTCCAGCGGCCTTTTGAAATCATTCCTCGATACTTTCAGTTGGGAAAATCTATTTATGATCTCTTTCACTCCCTTGGATCACCAATACCTGAAGATGACTTAGTTTCGGGCCTTATTATGAGGTTCCAATGTCTTATATCGGCCTTTTGTTCACTCCATTGAATTTAGACATGAGGTCTATTCTTTATGAGGCCTTATATGGCCTAGCCTTACGTGAAGAATTTCAGTTACAAGATGGCCTTCATCTTGCTAAATTTTTTATTTCTACTTATTATGCCACTCGATAGCTCGCTTACCGTGATCTGTGGTTATTATAATGGACGTTCACCATCATATAGTTCTAGCCAAAAGGCTTCCGTTCTTGCTATAGTACGGGTTGCATCTAGTATAGTTACCGCTTCAAATGTAATGGCATTATTCACCTTGTCAACATCTCGTCTATCTCCAAAATTTCGTCCAAGCAATCGTCCGTATAAACCCTCGTCTCATCTCACCTTCTCTAACTCATCTCCTAATACCTCAATGGATTATGGATACTGGTGCGACTCACCATATGACGAGGCAACTAGAAAACCTAGCCATTCACAATGAGTATCATGGTCTCGAAGAAGTGCAACTAACTAATGGTAAACACGTTCCCATTTCTCATGTTGGTTTTTCATCATTTAATCTTCCTCATCATTCTTTTAGTCTCAATAACATTTTACATGTTTCTAATAGTAGTCAAAATTTATTATCCGTCAACACTTCCATAAAAAATAACTCATGTTCTCTTGAATTTTTCCCTAATAAATTTCTTGTTAAGGATTTGGCTACACGGAAATTCTCCACAAAGGAACTCTTGACAACGGTTTTTACACCTTCTCATTGGCCCAACCTTTGGGTCGTTTATGCTTTATTCAAGCTCATAATACTACTTTTGGGACTTGGCATGCTCGTCTTAGTCATGCCTCCTCCAAGACTATCCAATGTCCCTTGAAGGATGCTAATTTATCTTTTTCTAAACCAAATTCTTCATTATGTCATGCATGTTCCATTAGTAAAATACATAAATTACCACTTCATCAATCTAGTTATGAGGGTAAGGCCCAGTTGGAATTAATTTGTTCTAATGTCCGGGGACCTTCTCCTATACCTTCGATTGATGGTTACTTATATTGTATCTTATTTTATGACCATTACAGCAAATATTGCTGAATTTTTTCTTTCGTCACAAATCTAAAGTCTTTAGATGTTTTATTAAATTCGGACATGTTGTCAAATTTTTTTTGACAAAATAATTAAACAATTTCAATCGGAGTAAGGGGGAGAATACTAAGCCTTAACCAAATACCTCACGAGAAAATGTATCTTTCGAAGAAGTGTATATCCCAAAACACCAAAACAAAGCCGGTGTGCTTGAGTGAAAGCATCGTCATATATTTGAAACTAGCTTAGCTCTACTTAATCATGCATATGTCCCATTAATATTCTAGACCTATACCTTTGATACTGCTATTTACACCATTAATAGACTTTCCACACCCCTCCTCCATAACAAGTCTCTTCATTTCACCCTTTTTGCATGTTACCTTTATATAGTGAACTTAAAATTTTTGGTCGCTTATGCTACCCATGGTTATGCCCATATGCCGGTCATAAACTTGCTCCTCACTTTTCTTTTTGTGTTTTCTTAGGATACAATACAGTTTTTAAAGGTTATAAATATTACAATTTATTTACAAAAAAGATGCATATCTCACACCATGTCTTGTTTGATGAACATGTATTTTCATTTACAATGTCATTTAAGGACTCCCGGTACTCCATAATTCATCGAAGTCACTCCTTTGCCACTCGCCACTACCAAACCGGATACACTTCACCACATCCGATTTCCCATCGTAAGTCACTCCTTTGTCACTACCACTACCGAACCAAATACACTCCACCACATCCGATTTCCCATCATCCACCATACTTGATACATAAACTTTATCACCTAACCCTTCTTGCAAAGAGTTCATTCCCATCCCACATTCTATGTAGAACTCACCCGTGCCACCTCCACCTCCCATATCTCTTACTCGTGGATCTCACACCTACCAGCTCACTTATCCAACTCCTTCACACTTTATTATGCCTCCTCCTATAGCGAGTACCTATTGCTACCGGCCCGTCGGACGCTTATCTCTATTCCACCTACTAGAACTTCCTCTACTACTCGTCGGCCCTCCAGTAGATACAACTCCCTCTAATGGTATGGTGACCTATTCTAAGACTAGAAAATTGAAGCCTCGTACCTTCTCTACAAAGGCTCGTGCTGCGAAACCTTCGACATTCAACCAAGCTCGGACTAATCCTAACCGGTGAGTAACCATGGCTACTCGAATTTAGAGCACTCATTGACAATGGTACATAGGAGCTTATCCCACCACATCCATCCTACAATGTTATTGGGAACACATGGGTCTATAGGGTGAAGACCAAAAGTGATGGAACCATCGATCGTTACAAACCAAGGTTGGTGGCTAAAGGATTCAACCAAAGACTAGGTCTAGACTTCACGAATACAAACAACCTTGTTATCAAACCAATGGTTCATTTGATCATTTCTATTACGAGTCTCTCATGGTTGGCATGTTGATTAGCTAAATGTCTCCAACACATTCCTCTATGGCCCTTTGGAAGAAGTTGCCCACATGACACAACCTACTAGATTTATTGATGAAGATCATCCCACTCATGTCCGTAGGTTACACAAGTCTTCATATAGGCTGAAGCGAGACTCCATGCCGGTGGTTTAAATACCCCACGGACAAGCTCATCTCCTTAGGCTTTCAAGGGTTATAAACGGACGTGTCTCTTTTCTTTAAATGCACTCGGTAATGATCTCACATTCTACCCGATATATGTTAATGACTTGGTTATAATGAGCGATAACGCTGCATTCATAACATCCCTCATTTCACTTTAATCCAACTTCCCAATGAAGCATCTTGGTAGACTCGGTTATTTCTTAGGGATAGAGGTAGCTTAGGACAATGATGGCTTAATTCTTCACCAATGTAAATATGTAAGTGACATCCTACATAAAGCACACATGCATGCAGCTAATGGAATCGGTACTCCAACTTGCCCAATTACTCGGTTACGTGTTGCGGTAGGGGCGTCATTTTATGATATTTTCCTTTATCAAAGCTTGTTGGTGATCTCCTTTACCTTGGCATCACTCAACCAAATCTTGCCTTTTTGGTAAATAAGGTGGCTCAATATATGCATGCTCCAATCGAGGAACATTTGGTTGCCTTAAAATGGATACTATGTTATCTTCAAGAGACAACTTGACCATGGTATACGCATTCAAAAATCTTCGATTTTGCCATTAATGCTTATACCGATTCTGATTGGCGTGGTGATGTTGATGATCGAAAAAACACCTCGAGGCTTTGCTATTTACTTAGGCAAGAACTTAATATCTTGGTGTTTGTGGAAACAACATACTATTGCTCGTTCATCCACTCGAAGCTAAATATCGTGCCTTAGCAATTGCGACTGCTGAAATTGAATGGATAGAGTCTCTCATAAAGGAGATTGTTATGCCCCTTCACCATTCACCCAAAATTTGGTGTGACAACATCTCTGCTACTTACCTCACCACCACGACAATTTTTCACTCTCGGTCTAAACATTTAGAAATCAATTTTTACTTTGTTAGGGATAAGGTCATCAAGGGTATGTTACAAGTATGTTATTTTCCTTCCACTTGTCAAATTGTTGACATCATTACAAAATCATTATTTAGAAATCAATTTCAACGACTAAAAGACAAGTTGTGCATTCTCTAAATTCCTACTCAACTTGTGGGAGGGTGATAAAGATAAGACTTAATAGTTAATATGTGATAACGATAAGACTTAATAGTTAATATCCTTATTTAACTCTATGTCTTTAACATGCTGATCTCTATACGGTTAGTGTTCTACTAGCTAACTAACTCTACTAATTTTTGTTTATATATATATAATTACTGTAACATAATATAATACAAGGGAGATTATTAAGTTTTATAAAGCGATATTAGCAAAAACAATTAGAAATGGGCACTAAAGCTCATGAAGGGAAGTATGGAATCACAAAGGTGCTTTGGTAGTAAAATTTATATTCATGAGGTTTAAGATTCAATATCTTTTAAATATTTTTTTACAAGAACATATCTCACATTTAATACTTAAACAAAAAATGAATAATATATAAAGTTGAAACCTTATTTAAATTCCTCAACCTTTATTTTTTTAAAAAATATATCATATATAATAGACCTCATTTACTAGAGTGGAACTAAATCTAGTATTATACTTCTTCTATCTTAAACAGATTGTTTCTTTGATTTTTAACATAAATTAAAAAAAAAAAAATCATTGACTGTCATGTCATATCGGTATCTTTTGTTCATAGTTTTCAAGAAAATATTTTCTTTTTAGAATTGTATTTGGACAATCCTTTATAAAATAAATTTCAATTAATAATATTTTAAAAAATATATCACCTAAAATTTTGATCAACAAATAGAACATATATAAATAAAAATATGGACAGAGATTATGTTCAATTTGTCATGAAAGGAACGTCCACTATCTTCGTTTAAGACAAAATAAGAAATAATAATCTCTTGATCCTATAGGTTGGTTTTTTCTTTTTCACAACTACAACATTTGTCATGAAAGGAACGTCCACTATCTTTGTTCTTAACTGAGATTATGTTCTTTTCCATGACTATTCATGAAAATTCATTTTTAAGTAATTAAGAAAATTACTAGTAGTATCACTATCACCTTTTGAAAAAGTATATCCGAGTACATATATCTTTATACTAAACAAATGGCATTAAACTATATCTAACTGAATTCTTAGTTTAAAAAGTCATTCACTTTGTCATGAGATTTGGAATCAAATTAAATTCCACCTCAAATGTTGGCATAGAAAAGAAGCTACACAAATCATTTTATTATTTATTTTTTAAAATACTTTGTATCAATTTTCACATATTAAGTCCATTTCGATTGTGTTAGAGAATAATATAAATTATATTCGAAGCATCACCTAATAGCTTAAATTTTTGAATGAGTTGATATTTTGATACGGTATCCGAGCTTCACCTATATTTCTTTTTTAATTAATTAAGCATAAGATAGTGTGAGGTTGTGCAAGTTTCAAACCTAAAGGACTCGTCACTTGAGAGAATATGATAGAAAATAATATAAAATATGGCTTAAGCTTTTGGATGAGATGTTACTTATTTATCTTCAACCTATAACATTTCATGTCTTCTAACATCCCAATTGATTGAATCCATATTGAAGAATGATGAAGACTTGACACTTCCAACTTTTGGCACAAAATTTTGGCCTCCACACAACCATCAGTTTGCGGTGGGGCTGCTGCACGACCATGACAATGGTGTAGTTTCCACCTTTTCATTTTTTAATTTAGAATTGCCATGCATTACCAAGAGTGGGTTCTTTTCTATTTTATCTATTTGTTACCGTACAAGGGACAGCTTAATTGTGTAATGCCTACTTGCTTATTTTATCGGACTTTCTAGAGAATGTTTAAGTTTTTCGAGAAAATTAATATTAGTTGAATCTGACTTACCATAAGCGGACTCATTTTATTTGTTGATGGTGAGTTGAACTTACGCAACCATTGATTTATCTGTTTTGAATCCTTCTTAAACTAGTCAAGTTATTCACTGCATCTACAGCACATTGTCATCCTTGATCGATGCCATGCGAATGAACAAATTCAAGTTGTCCCAACCGTGGGATTGAACTAACCAGGCCTCCTATTAGAAATAGCAGCCCTCTAAATGCAAGCAAAAAGTGCTTTTGATTAATTAAATTCCAAGGTTTTTGCAATAATGTCTGGCGTCAGCTAAATTTCTCACTGATCATCAGCAGCAGTTTCAGCACTTTAAACACACATTAAATCAAGTATCTATATAACCACCCGAACCATAAAAGGGAAAATGAAATGCTTAAATTTGGAAGTAGAGAGACTCAATATTTGTTGCAATCAACATGCAAAATCACAACCTTATAGGAGAAGGATCCAAACTAATGAATTGAATAAATGGAATTAAATTGCATGCTAACAATGAAGAAATGGAAGCATGGAATTAAATTGCAGAAAAACTAACTCGGCTCATATTATGCGAGCACAGTCGCCTGCTTCGCATGTCCATGCAACCTTCACTGAGTAGATTTGACTAGCCACTTTAGGTTGGGCCTTTCGATATTCTTCCGTAACAAAAGTGACAGCTTCTTCTGCCAGATTAGCATCTGAAAATGCAAGTCAACAGTCTCTAAATCCAGCATCACTAAAACGCGTTCCAAATACGCTAGGTGCCTTCGGAAGAATCTTATACACTACTCACCCAGAATGGTTTACGTGAATAGTAACTTTGTTGAGTGTCATGTCTCACAAGCTACTGTTTAAAAGTCTGTTAGTCATGCTCCATGTTTCTAAAGCTTAATAGTCATACTCCAGCATGTTCCTAAAATTAGTATTCATGCTTTTCATTCCTAAAGTTTAGTAGTCATGCTCCATGTTTCTAAAGTTTAGGAGATTTTTTAGTTTTGATTTGAAAGTTTTCATGTATTTAAGGATGCTTTACATCAATAAAAATTTAGATATTGTAGTTAAAAAAGGAAAAACATATTATTATTATTATTATTATTATTTTAAAGAAACAACCAAAAGCCATGCTATCTTGAGGGGCCCATAAGATTAAGTGAGCCTTAAAAACATATTTCAAACCCTTCATAAATACTAATCCTATAAATAATTTCAACAAATAGAATCAGAAGCAGCATTCACATCAGTTTCACTAACCAAAGAGCTTGTAGCCTAGTGATAAGGTCTCTTGCAACAAAAGATCATGGGTTCAAATCCTAACAAATTAATTCTGCTAAAAGCCTTGAGTGTATGAGTAAAAAAAAAAAAAAACATCAGTTTCACCACCAATCTTTTATGTTGAAAACTATCAAATTAATTTGGGCTATTTGAATGGTAGTTCACCTTGATCTCTAAAAAACAGTAGAGAATGATTATGATGTTCCTGCATTGCAGCCAATCCAACCATGGCAACTCAAAAATCACAAGGAGATAAAGACTAGAAAATCCAAATCAAGGCTTGCCTATTCTCTATTGTATCAAATACTATTTTCAACAAAATTATGAGCCTAAAATCTGCAAAAGATAGTTTGGATTATCTCAAGGAAGAATACTGGGGCAATGAGAGGACAAAGAACATGCAAGTGCTGAATTTGATCAAAAAATTTGAAATTCAGAGAATGAAAGTGCTCAGCATTGTAAACAAGGTGAGATTAATTGGTAAGGATTTTTCTGATATAAAAATTATTCAAAAGATTTCGGTTACACTATTGGCTGAGACGTATGAGGTTAAAATCTTTTCTTTGAATGAGTCAAAACACCTATGAAGCATTTTCTTGGCAGAGCTCATCAATGCAATGCAGGCATAGGAACAAAAGGAGCTTATAAGACAAGAAGGATATCTGGAGGGTGCTTTTCAAGCCCCATCATAAACCAACAATTGCGGAAGAAAAAGGAAAAAAAGCAAAACAACAACAAGAAGTCTGGAGCAGGTTTAGGCAGCAGCAACAAAACTGTAATTTTTCTACCCTATTCACTACAAAAAGACCAACTATTCATAATGAAGGAATTGGTGGAGACTAGATTTTCAATGCAAGAAATGTGGTCAATTTTCTCAAATGGAGAGAATTTGCAGGTCTTGGCATGTTAGAGCACATATCTCATATTGAATTGTTAAACTAAAGATAATTAACATATAATATTGAGAAAGAACCACCTATCATAAGACTTAAATCTTTTAAATAGAACGTAATCTCAATTATCTAATTCTATATAATATTAAATTCTCAAAAAAGCGTAATGGCTCACCAAAGATTCTGAAGTTCAAGTCATTTGAGAAATCTCAAAAGATGAATCACAAGTGAAGAAGAGTGTTAGAGTACATATCTCACATTGAATAATTAGATCAAAGATGATTAATATATATGGCTGAGAATGAGCCACATACCAAAGTACTTAAGTCATTTGGATGGAATTTTTCATAACCCAAAAAACAATCTCATCCATTTCACAATTTTAATTTTAGTTTTTTGTTTTGTTTTATTTTAGTTTTTTTTATTTTATTTTAGGAATTTACAAAAAAAAAAAAAGAAAAAGAAATATATACATATATATTACAAAAAAAATTATGAATTACATCAAGGGACACAATCGCATTAAATGAAAGTATAATTGAAGTAATTAGAGGTACAATTGAATCAATTAGGAAATTCAGAACCTAAATTACACTCTATAGGAACCTAATTGATAAAATTATACTTTATAAGGACTGAAATTACATTAAAAAAATGACATAATGATAAGCAATTGAAGTTTTTAGGGATCAAATTGAAAATTGAGAGCAAACAACAGGACTAAAGTGGAGCAGAGACAACCCAAAAATTATTTCTGGGTTTGTTCCTCAATCTTTCCATGGAGGCAAATCCTCTCCAATTTTTGTTTTTTTGATTTTCATTCCTATGATTCTTAGCTGGCATTCGTACCAGCCGAGAATCACGCCCCTCTGCGCTCCTAATTCACCCTACTGCACCAATACCCACAGGACCAAACTGCAATTCGTTTTTCTGTTTTGCTGATAAAATGCCAAAACCCAATTCTTGGTTTTTGACTTTAGCAGCTGGCAATTCAGGACATCTGGATTGATCTTAGGGTCAGAAATGGGCAAATGTTTGCCTATAAATTGGGGGAAACTGACAACAGAGGGGAGGATTTTTTGGGCAGAAAGGAATTACAGAAAGAAAGAGGATTTTTGGACTTTTACAGACAGAATTTCAGAGAAAAAAAGGGATCTTTTGGGAATTTTAGGAATTAAAAAAAACAAAAGGGGTTTTGAAGGCTTGAATTTCTGGGTTTCAAAAGGGGATTCCTGGGTTTCTTTTCTAGGTATTTCTAGGCTTCAAAGATTTCTGGGTTTGCGGAAGCCAGTTTCTGGGTTCAAAGTTTTCTGGGTTGAACGAGGAACAGTTTGGAAAGTGAACAGAAGGCCACCCCTCTCACTGCCCTCGTATCCATCGAAGGAAGAGCAGGCTTCCTGGGTTTTTTAAGATAAGTAAAATGAAGGATGAGTGGGAGACGAACGAGAGAGAGATTAAAAAAAAAAAAAAAAACTAGGGATTGATTCTGATGGTGAAGGAAAACTTACTTAAAGGGAGGAGATTTTCTTCGATCTCGACAGAGGCTCGTTTTGTTAAAAAAAAAAAAAAAAAAAAAAAAAGGGCAAGAAGATGGAGGAAAACTTTCTGATTTCCTTTCCTTCTGATAGAGAGGAAGCAAAAAGAAACAGTAGGAAAAGAATTTAAAAAAAAAAAAAAGCAAGAACAAAGAAAGGAAAATAAGCAAAACGAAAGAGACAGTAGCCAGGAAAAGGGAGAAAGAAAAGAGAGAAAGGAAAACCAAAGGGACGAAATCTGAAACCAGGGGACTGCCGTTCGGAGCTTAAAAAGAAAGGATATATTGGGCAGTCAGTCAATCATCTTCCCTGTCTCATTTCATTTTCAAACTGTCATCTTCACTCAGGTAATCCTCTAACCTACTCTAACTCTATTCTGTACGAAGCATGCCTTAGTTGTCTTCCTCGATGCATTGAGCAAGTGACAGTGACTTTGTCACTGTCATTGCACGAAGATCATAAAACCGTAAATTGATGTTTTCTTTTTTCTTTGGTATGGAAGCATGAATGATAATACTTAGATCCTAAAAGGTGGTTTTGGGATGATAGTTTAACTGTTATGATTGAATGCAGTGGGAAGGATGTAATAGGATGTATCGTGAGAGAAGGAGAACGAGAGGGAGAGAGGGACAAAAGTGTTGTTTGATCGAAAATTAGGAGGAATAAAAATGGGTTATGTTTATGGACTTTAAGTCCAGTCCAGTAAGCTAAAAAGGGGGTGGGTTGGGCCAAGCCCAACCCACAAGGGACACTCCAACAGCCATGCTGAATAAAGGCTGGGCTGGCCCGAGCAAAAAAAAAAAAAAGGAAGAATAGGGATGGCCAGCCAGCACCAGCAGGCCATCCAATAGGCCTGGCCTAGAGGGCTGGCGGTCCATTTACCTGGAAAAAAAAAAAAAATCCACTGCCTTTAATTTCAATTTTTTTATTTATTTAGATAAATTTGTCTTGAATGTTTATTAATGTATGTTTATTTCCAGTTTAATTTAGATTCTAATAATATAGATCTCTTAGAATTTATTTTAGTTAATTTTAATTGTAGAATTTTATTCTCATAATTAGTTTAGATATCCAATTAATGGATGAATTGTTAAGTCTTATACTTCTTAGGGACTAATGACAATTCTTCATCGATACAAAAATACAAATAAAATAAAAAGGTAGGCATATTTTAATTTTTAATTTTTGTAGTGGTAATCAATTGGTGGACAATTTGTCGGGTCTCCTAATTCTTAGGGATTGAGGTTGATTTCCCACAAAAAAATTTAATAAAAATGAACAAACAAGTTAGGAAAATAAAAAGAAAATTCTAAAAAAAATAAAAATGAAAATGAGAAAATGAGAGAAGAAAAAAGAGGAGAAAAAAATCCTTAGCCAAAAGAATAATAAAAATTAATTGAAATTCTTAATGCAGTCTCTTATCCGAAAATGATTGTTGTTAACAAAAAATGAGAAAAAAAATTAAAATTCTTAATAAAGTCTTCTATCCGATAGGGACTCGTCGTTAACAAAAAAAAACAAAAAAAAACAAAAAACAAAAAAAAAAATCAAGAAAAAAAATAAAATTCTTAACGAATTTCCTATCCGATAAGCACTATCGTTAACCAAAATATAATAAAATTCCTAGCAAAATTTTTTATTTGATAAGGACTCGTCGTTAACAAAAAAAAAAAACAAAAACAAAACAAAAAATTAATTAAAATTCTTAACAAAGTCTCCTATGTTGTTAGCCAAAAAAAATTGTCATTTAATAATAAGATGTTCTCCGACACACCGGTTGTGTCGAGGCTTAAAGTGAATCCGATGTTTGAATCGACGTGTCTCCCAATAAAGGGGTTTAACGGTCGTTTCAATGCGAATACAATGCCAAGCTTAAAAATAAAAAACTTAATTTAACTTGAAAAAATGGAGTTTAAATAAGAAATAATTTAGCACGGATAAAACACCTTAGGGGATGGATTTTAGGACTAAACTAGATGTGGTACTTTTTGTAGGAAATGACGCTTATGGGTGATCGATATATTTTCAAAAGCATTACCAACTCCTTAGCCTAGAATCTCTCGCATTAGTGCTATTTCTAGGTTTTTAGTTCGTTCAATATTAGGTGACGACTTTGAACTTAATAATAACTCGCATCCTCAAAATAACTTATAAATGTGATGCAAATCTTAAATTTTTCGAGAGTCCCGTTCGACGTCGAGTCATGACAAAACTCAATTTCAACAATCTAACTCTATCCGACAACAACATAAAGAAGCAAAAGTTGTTGTGGAGAGCCCAAAAGTAGACATTATCTAGCAGTGATCTAGCCAAAAAGTGAGAGATGTAGTCTCGATTGATGCAAATTAATACATGCATGTTTGTATGTATATAAACTAGCTAATGAACAAAACATAATGCATTTCTTAAAGCTCTACTACTAGTTAATAATTAACAGATAGGATAGCTTTACAGCCATTCATGCTGAATTTCTTAAGCCTTCCAAAGAACATGACAATGATGAGGATACATTGTCCCATGTTATTCCACCTTCCAACATATCCAAACCATTCATCTTTGCAATAGTTGTCTGGTTCAAGTTGTCGCTTGCGGCTGTAGCCAGTTGAGAGCCCAACATTTGCATATGCGCTACAAAATGATTAATTTTACAATATAGAGTTAATAATTTATAGAATGCAACAATCATTTGTTGAACCGTTGTTCAATTATACGTGAACCTATATCGAAATCATTTTGAAAAACTTCCCAATATACCTTAGGACTTCTACGGTGATGTTGAGCACATTAAAGTTGAAGGGGTCTTTCTTCAACTTTTCTCTCTCTGTTATACAAATGAGAATTACAAAGATGACTAGGGAGGATAAAGGCGAGAACAAAAGGCGCTGAACCAAATACTTGCTTTGGTTTTTGCATTTTTTGTCAGTTCCTGAAACAACCTATTCCTGTTGCTTTATTGGCAAAAATGACGTGTATGGTGGGAGATACCTGCAAAGACGATGTTGTCTAATCAGAAAAATGGATTCAGTAATGGATCTGAGATTACAAGGATAGGAGGCAGTCCTGACTCAGATTGCAAGAAGTGGCTAGTAATTTGTTGGGCTAAAAATTGAATACTGTATTAGACTTCAAATTTGGATTGGCCTTATAAACCAATTCAACCTTAATGGGAAACTAGCATAGCCTCAAATTCCCTAAATTCCTCACCTTTCATCTTTATTGAATCTTTTTTTTCCTTTCAAGAAATTGAGAAGAATTCTAGAGGTGGGTTATTCTTATTCTTATTCTTATTATTATTATTATTATTATTTTAAGACAAGTTGAAACTTTTGATTTAAGTACATATCATTGAAGAAGCTAAGAATTTTAGAAGAAAAGAAATACTCGAAATAATTTGCTTCAAACTGAAACGAATTTGAGCTTGAAAGGGGCAACAATAATCAATTATCTAATGATAATATATTTTTGATAAGCTTCTAGTAGTGTAATAGTGTTCAAGGCATGATTGATTAATTAATTATATGCTCTATGATTGCTCAAAAAGATATTTTGACTTGTTATCTAAATTTAGAAAGGGGTAATTTACTCGATCCACTATTAATGGAATCCAACCTTTATGATAGCCATGCACGCAGGAAATACAAGCTTAATTGTGGTTTGGTTTTATCATGAAATAAAAGTCCACAATGGAAATACAGAAAAAAAAATTATTATTATTTAGTCCATTTTCCTCTAATTTCTTTTAATTCTATCTAAATTCATTTTCAGTTAAGGCCCTTGCTTTTTTATTCTCTATCAACTATATCTTTAATTGAATGTTATTTAGTCCTCACCTCTACCGTATTTTTCAATTGAACCACAAATCATCTTTTTCAAATTATTCTCTTTTTCTCTTTATTTTATTTTATTTAATTAAAATTAGGGGATAATGTTAAGAAATTAAAATTTTAAAAATTTACAAAAATATCTAAAAATAATGTAAAGATTAAGAAACTAGGCGACATGCAATTTTTTCAAATTTTTTAATTTTGTGTAAAAATAAAAATTTATAGGGGTAAAAATGGGTCATGACACTATAAACGGGTGAAAAACAAAGGATTTTTATTTTCATTAGCCATTATCCCCCAATAGTATGTATCAAAATTACTTTGCCTATGAGTATTTTATGGCCCAATAATGCAGGGTTGCCTTGTCAATGATTTGCACATTGCGAGGACAAGCTTCTTCACTAAGAGAAAGTAATTGAGTAAATCAACAAGTTATGAATATTCCAACATGTGATTTGATCTGCCGTTTTTTTTTTTTTTTTCCCCTCATTTGAAAGGCCGATCACAAGACACTAACTTTTGAGGATAGGATATTGAGATACCAGCTAAAATTCTTTTTTTTTTAAAGAGGAAAGCTCATGGGAAAAATGAAATTTAATATTTAGATTAAGATGGATTTTGTCTAGATATGGCACTTTTCGAATTGTTTGGAATGAAATTTTGTGTGTGTATTGAGTCTTTTTATTCTTTATTTTGTTTTTGTTTCCATCTTTTCATTATAATGTTGTTAGTTCATGAACTAGTGTGACATATCAACTCCTAAATGCATGAGACATATCATATGTGGAACCATAATAAAAAGACTCAATTAAAACAATTCAAAGAGTGTAAAGACTCAATCAACATAATTAAAAGAGTACAATGACCTAATTATTACTTTTAATTTTCATGTTATTGTTTTTTTTAATACCTCTTCTTGAATGCTCGTCAAACATGTTATATGTGAGACCTCATTATAGTAAAACCGCAAAGTATTTTTTAAATCTAATAATAAGTTAAAAATAATAAAACAATATGTGAAAAAGAAAAAAAAAAAAGGGCAAATCTAATACAGAATTATTAAACAAAAAAAGGTGATGTGCAATATCGATTAGCTGAATATTTGATCAATTCAAAGTGAAAAATGGGATTACTCATTCAAAACTAGAGACTACACCATATTTTTTTCTTTGATATAGATAATTAGTTAATTATTAGCATTAACTTTGTTTTTATTTTCTTAATTGCAAGTTAACTTCATTTTGTATGTATTTTTTTCTTTAAAAAAATTATAATAATTTATTGTTTAAAAAAATTCTTTATAGTTTTATGGTGATGAAGTTCCAAATATGTCATGTTTCATGATATTTAAGATGAGGTATTAAAAAAATATATGAAATGAAAATTAAAAAAGAAAAAAATAATTTGGTTGTTGTATTCTTTGAATTATGCTAATTGAGTTCATGTACTCTTCGAATTGTTTTGATAGAGTTCTTTTATCATGGTTCCAAATATGACACATGTCATACATTCAAGACTAGACATGCTACGTCGGCTCACAAACTAATAAATTTATAATAGAGGGATGGAAACAAAATAAAATAAAAAGTAGAAGAACTCAATCAACATGAAAAAAAAAATACAAAATTTCAATCAAAATAATTCAAAAAATATAGATTTTTATAATGGGAAAAACCTTATTAACACCTTACAAATTAATTGGTTGAGCTAGTAATCATTTATGTTATTTCATGTTTAAAATCCGCCAAATAAACTCGAATTCGAGAATTTGATTAAGGCTTCGTTTGTTAGGTGGAAAACAACTTCCAATAGAAAAAAGTAATTTTGAATAAGCTATTTTCCAGGAAGTTGTTTTTGAAAAAAATATTTTCTAATGTTTGTCAATTGTATAAAAAAAATGATGATAAATATATTTTATCGTTTGTTTGATACGAAAACCGAAATAAAAAATAGGTTGTGATTATTACATCAACGAGTTTTGAGACAACTTCAACAAGACATATTCACAATCTCACAATATAAAAATTGTTAAAAGATCTCACATCCATAATAGTCCATATACAAATTATTATTTTGGTAACTCAATTAATAATTCTTTTTTTTTTTTTTGAAATTGAACTAATAATTTAGTCTAAAAAATAGTTTTACAAATTATTAGTTATCATTTATAAATAATTATTCATTTAGTTTCGAAAGATTAATGTTGAAATAATTTGTAACTATTATTGAGTACAATTACCAATAAAATTTGACAACTAATTAAAATTAGTCAAAAACTATTGACTTAGTTGCAAATGAACAATGTTGGAAAAATAATGTATTTACTAATAAATTAATTAGTTTTAAATTTCTCACAAATGATTGCAATCTTGTAATAATCATTTTCAATCATTCAAGTATAATTTAGGTGGTGTTTGGGATAATAGTTAAAAAAAAAAGGGATAAATTATTGAAATATTTATTATAAAACTAATTTTAAGGTGTAAAAATGGTTTTGAAGAACATTTAATGTATTTATAAATTGAAAAATCAAATGTTAGTAGAAATAGAGAAAAAATAATTAATAATAACTGATAAGAAATAATTAAAAATTAATTTGATATATTTTAAATAAAAAGAAGACAAAGAAAAAATTGTTAAAATATCTCAAGAGATAGGTGAGTAATGTGAGAGCGAGATAGCTCGTGAGAAAGAGAAATAAAATATTTTCTTTTTTAGCTAGGGAGTCTTTTTTTCAAAAATAGTCTATTAATTTTCGTTGATTATAAATCAAATTTTATTAAATTTTTTTCCAAAATCCAAAAGAAATATTAAAAAATTGGAGAAAATGAGGAAAATAAGTTCCTAAAACTTTTTTTTTTTTTTTTTGGAACAAACAGGGCCTAAAAGCAATATTGAGGGATTTGACTGAACTATAGGTAATGATAACCTCTATATATATATAATCAACGTAATATCCAAGAGGAAGCAATAGCTATTTGGGATAAAAGTTATTCATTAAAAAAAAAAAAAAGGACTTCTTATCTCCATAACTCTCTTTTTTTTTTTTCTATAGTTCGTATGCATATTTGCTCAACTATCAATTTATAATGATTGGCGACCCTACTTTTGATTTTTTTTTCTTTTTTGATACCCGAAATCACCCGAGACATAATTTTGCTAATATATCTAACGAGAGCTATCATGTCAATATTTTATACTCTCAAGTAATTGTGGTTACTTCAATAATAAAAAACAAAATCAAAACTTAAGCACTGAAAAAAAAAATCAATTGTTGGGTAACAAAAATATGAAGAAATTTATTTTATTTTTCTTAAACCAAATGTCTATCTCTTTCTTTTACTCTGATTTATCACTTCTTTATTATAAATAGATTTCATTCATTTCTTTTGCTTCTATATGTGTGTGTATGTGATCTTTCAAAAATTTTATTTTAACTATTGAAAATCCTATAATTCTAAATCTCAATAACATCATTCATATATTCTTGTTATTATGCTAATTGTACAAGGAATATTAACAATACATTGACTTCTTAGACAATAAATTAAAGACAAAATGAGCAAATGGCTCACATAGAAGATAGAAATTATGTCTCAAGTGATTTCAGATACCAAAGCAGAAAAAAATAATCAAAAGTTGGATAACCAATCATTAGAAATCAACAATTGGATGCCAAAATAGAAAAGAAAAAATGAAAAGTTAGGCATCAAAAGAGATTTTTTCTCTAAAATATGTAGTTACTGGTTTTATCTTGAGACTTATAAATCTTAATGATGTTGTTGTTGTCTTTTTTTCCCCCAAGTAACAGAGAATTATTTACATTGGTCCATGTAAATCTTTCACAAAAAGGAGGAACTAAGTTCCAAATCATTGGATTGCACCATCAAACACATGCAAGTCTTGCCGTTATTCAGGATATAAGTACCTTCTCAAGCTCGACCTTCTCTTCTTTTTCCATACATACATGAAATTCTATTTGATTATGTTGGGGTTAATTGGTTCTATAGTAGTTTAAATTTTTGTTCGAACAGGGATAAGTCCTCAATTTTTAATTTTTTTGATTTAGGTTTCAATTTTTAATTTTTTTTTAGCAATCAAGTCTCATCTTTCTGTTCACCGATCTCATATAAGATTTTTGACACACACATCCACTAAAAAAAATTAAATGATAAAAAATATATTTCTTCCTTTTACTTTCCTCCCCTAAAACTCTTATTCGATCTGTAAGAGAAATTTCTTTATAAAATATATAGTTATTGCTTTTACGTTGAGACTTTAAATTTCATTGCTGTTATTTTTCCAGGTCAATGAGAATTATTTACATTGATCCATGTAAATCTTTCGTGAAAAGAAGAAACCAAGTCACAAAAATTTTTTGCATCCTAATCTTTCATGGTATCTTTTGGTTCCAATCAAGTTTTTTTTTTTTTTTTTTTTAATCAATATCAGCAAGATTTTTCCTACGACACACATCCATTAAAAAAAATGAAATGACAATAAAGCCCTCCAAACCCAAATTAAATTTCAAAATCTCAAAATTATTAAATTTTTTTGTCATTTAATTTCATTTCCAAGAACAGCAAATCCCTCTCTCTCTATAACCTAACTCCCCTCCTCTACTATTTATACCTTCTCCCAGCCCCAAATTCACACGTCCGTCTCTAACATACTCCATGCGTCTCTCTCAAAACTCTCTCTTTGGTGTCCGAGAAGTTCCTTTCTTTTTTCCTTCCTTCAAACTCTTGAACTTTTTGTTTGCAAAATGGAACTAGATTTAGTCCTCGAGGCTTGCCAATCTTTGGTAGCCTTGTCATCGCACTCTGGCTTCCATGGCTTGGAACCGAGCCAACACTCAGCTCATGGCTTTTAGCCTCGGCTCCACTCCAGTTGTGTACTGCCTGAGAAATCTTGACCTCTCCCATTAAACAGTCGGTTAATAGCCCCAATAATCCAGGTCTTAAACAGAGAAAGAAAGAGGGTTTGGATTTGGTATTGTTGTTCCTAGAAATGAAATTTGGATTTGGAGGATTTTTTTGTCATTTAATTTTTTGAGTGATGTGAGTCAGTGCTTAGGAATTTTTTTTTTTTTTTTTTTTTTTTTTTTTTATTGTACAACGTGACTTTCGCATGCAAAAACTTCTACCTGAAATTAGTCACTAAAAAAGAAAAACTTGATTGCCTAACAAAAAAAGATTTGGAATTCAAATCTAAAAAATTAAAGATTGAAGACTTAGTTTAATCAAAAAAATTAAAATATTATAGAACCTACTAGCTAATGAAATTTATTTATGAAAATTAATTAATTGAGAAAGTGGAGGGATGAAGTACATAGCTAGTATCATTGTCAAAAATGTCTGGGGTTCACAACAAGAATAATTTTAAACAAATCTACTTGAAGAAAAGGAGTACTCTTTTAAAAATATGGGCTAAACTTATTTTGTTTGCCAATCAGAAGTTTCGACTTCCACTCTTTTATGTGAGATTTGATTTAAATTTTTAAGATGGTAATTTAATTTCTCAGTCTGGTTTCTAACATTAAAATTTTCAAGTAAGTTAATTCTTTTCTTATTTTTTTTTCAATTTATTTTGATTTTTTGTTTTTTAAAAAAATAAAAAAAATAATAAGTAAAAAATATATAGAAGGATTGATGAGTATAAATAATATTTTTTGAAATAAAATAATATTAAATTAAATATAATCAATGCTGATTAAAAAACTAAATAATTAGTTTTTAAAATAGAAATAATTCATTCATTCATTTCTCAAAAATTGAGGGATTAATTTATATTTTACTCTTGATTCCTAACCTCAAAAAGAAAGAAAGAAAAAATAAAAATCCCTACGATTTTGTAAAGGTTTTATTAACTCACACAAAATACTTTACATCAGCAGTGCCTTTTATATACTAAGATAAAATTAGAGAAGATAAGAACAATAGTTACATAAGTGTGTTAGGATTCTTCTACTAGTTGCAGAGTTGTAGAAAACATGTAATGGTAGTTACAGAGTTCAGAAAGGAAAAATTCACCAATTAATTCATCCTTGTCACTCTCCGTCAAGTTGTGCAAGTTCTGAGAGAATGCGCAACATGTAGCGAAGTTTCTGAAACTATGATCTAGGCAGTGGCTTGGTGAGAATGTCTGCAATCTGGTCAGTTGTAGGAAGATAGCATACTTGGAGCAAGCCTTTGCGAACTTTGTCACACACAAAATGGAAGTCTATTTCCAAGTGTTTTGATTTGGAATGGAAGATTGGGACATTTGTAAGGTAGTTAGCAGACACATTATCACGCCAAATTGTAGGTGGTCGACCAACAGGGAAACCAATCTGCTTTAGGAGAGATTCTATCTAGTCAACCTTAGAGCAGGCCACTGCCAAGGCTCGGTACTATGCTTCTGTTGAAGAATGGGCAACCATACGTTGCTTGCGAGAACGCCATGAGATCGAGTTTTTGCCCAAATAAATTGCATATCCAGATGTGCTTTTGCGCTCGTCAACATCGCCTCCCCAATTTGAATCAGCATAAGCTATAAGAGAGATGTCAGCAAACTGTTAGAAGTGCAGGCCATAAGACTTTGTAGCTTGAAGGTAGCGAAGGATGCGTTTCAACGCAGTCCAATGGGCATTTGTGGGAGAATGCATGTATTGAGCGACTTTGTTCACAGCGTAGGCAGTATCGGGGTGAGTAATCCCAAGGTACTGTAACAACCTACAAGGCTATCCAGGTTAGGACAAGTTGGTCATGGCGTTCCCACTATGTATATAAGGGATTAGGTGTGTTATTTGCAAGTGTTGCTATAGGGGGAAGTTAGGAGCCATCAACATGGTGAAGCAGACCTTGGCAATGTAGAAGAGGTCGAAGTTGTGTTCGCTAGAGGATGAAATTTATGGAAGTGAGTTTGAGGATGAATGGATTGTGTATATGAGGAAGTGAGCCATCAACGCGGGATGTTGCAGTAACGGGTGAGGAGGAGATTGGCATAAGGTTCTGGTCTACCATGGATCGGAAAAAAAAAAGAAAAAAGAAAAGGAATGATATGCAGTGGACTATTAAGTCACTAGGGGCTCTGATACCATGTAAAGGTTTTATTAACTCACACAAAATACTTTACATCAGCAATGCCTTTTATATACTAAGGCAGAATCAGAGAAGATAAGAACAATAGTTACATAAGTGTGTTAGGATTCTTTTACTGGTTGTAGAGTTGTAGAAAACACGTAATGGTAGTTACAGAGTTTAGAAAGGAAAACTTCACCAATTAATTCATCCTTATAAGATTTTAGGGGCAACACACTCCTAAGTCCAAAATGAAAAAAAAAAAAAAAGAAAAAGGGCCATTGACCATCAATTACTTGTTTCATAAACCACCAAGCCAACATTCCACTTCTTACTTGCACCTCCCAAATGGCATAGCATTTAACTAGATGAGTACCCGTGCTACGTTGCGGTCGGGCACCCATCATATATGTAGCGTTAACGATTCGTATAGTATACTACAAGTAAAAGTTTTATTTTCGATGATTATTATAAATCGAATCTATATATTGAGTGAAATCATTTGATATATATATATATATATATTAACAAAATATTTAATAATATTAGCATAAAATTTTGTATTTAAATAATTGAGAAGTTCTTTAAAAAATTATGTCATTTATTTTATTTTAAAAAAAATTAGAATATAAAAAATAAATAATAAAGAATTGATATTATATGTGCAAATATATAGTTAATTTCTAATAAAACTAATGATACATATACATATCATACTTAACAAATTCGAGTATATAGAATAAATAGAAAAATATACAAAAAAAAACCCACTTAAATTGTATGAAATATATTGAAGTCAATAGACTAAAAAAAAGTACAACAAAATTGATTTTGATAAACTTGAATAAATATATATAAAAAACAAATAAATTTGTGAATTTTTTTAAAAAAAATTGAGCCAAACTATCTAAAACATACTTTTATCTCTCTCTCTCTCTCTCTCTCTCTCTCTCTCTCTCTCTCATATATATATATATATATATATATATATATATATATATATATATATATATATATATAGTCAAAATTTATAAATTATAATAATATATTTTTAAAATATAAAACAACAACGTTCTAAAATTTTATTCCAAAATTCATATATTAAAAAAAATTATCAACAAATAAAGTTATATCAAAAAAATTAATTTGATGAGAATTTTAATAAGAAAAAAATAATTGAAGAAATAAATTTTAAATAATAAAAGTAATATAATAAGATATATATGTTCAAACTAAAATTTTAAAAAATATCATATATATTCTATCATCTTCAAACTGCATGTAAAACTAAAAAAAAATAACAATTTATTTTATATATTTTTCACACCTAAATTCATGATAATATATATATATATATATGAAGGAAAAAAAAAAAAAAACCAAGCTCGCTAAATTGTATAAAATATATCCAAGTCAATAGATTAAAATAAAAACTATAATAAAATTGATTATGATCAATTTCAAATAAATATATATAAAATAGCAAATAAAACTTATGACTTTTTTAACCGATTATTAATTTTTTTTAAAAAAAAGCCAAACTATTTAAAATTCTCAACTCTCTCTCTCTCTCTCTCTCTCTCTCTCTATATATATATATATATGTGTGTGTGTGTGTGTGTGTGTTTTAAAATTTTATTCCAAAATTCATATATTAAAAAACTAAATTTATTAACAAATAAAATTATATCAAAAAATTAATTTGATTAAAATTTTACTAAGAAACAAATAATTGAAGAAAAAAATTTAAATAATAAGAGTAAAAAAAAAATTTAAAAGAAAATAAGAAAAAAAGTAATAGTGAAATTTTTTTAAAAAATGAAAAAAAAAAAACTAAGATAGAGTAGTACGAGTGTGAGGGTAAAGTAAATCATCAGCCTATGTGAAAAAAAAAAATAATCAATTTTTAAAAATTTTAACACTCAATCAAATAAAAAAACATAAATTGATGAGAAAAAAATAAAAATAAAGAAAAAAACATATAGTGCATCAACTAGGGAATAAAATTTTTATTTTAAAATTTTAAGGATCAAAATAAAATAATTTGAAAATTAAAAAAATAATAAGGGTGAAAAGTATATATAAAAAAAATAAAGACGAAATAATTTAATTTTAAAAAAAAATAAGAAAAAAGTAAGAGTGAAAATTTAAAAAGAAAGGAAAAAAACTTAAGATTGAGTAGCATAATTTGGTTTCATTGTTGATACTATTCATTCGAAAAGTGAAATCATTACGCGTTTTAGTTTTTAGTTAAAGTAATAATACACATATATATATATATATTTAAAAACGTTTTCTTTATATTCTATTTAAAAAAAAAAAAAGTCCAAGTCATGTTCAAATAATAAAAGTGGCTGCAGAAAAAAAAAAATAGAAATCACTGTCGTTTATTGGAAGCATGGATTAGCTTGCGAGCCTTATACATGCTCCTTGAAGGGATATTAAAAAACAAAAGAGGGCCAGGCGCGTGCCCGGACAGGCCCAAGCGCCAGGCAGCCAAGGCCGCTCAATCCAGAGCGGAAAAAAAAACTACAGTACATGAATAGTTACTATCCCAGATCTTTTAATTTTTTTTTAATTAATAATAATAATACTTCTTTTGTCCCAAACAGATGTTTTTATTTGATTTTTTAGACAGATTTAAAAAAAATATTTATATACATATTTTTTATTTGAACAATTTTTTAAAAATAGATTTTAATTTAAGGTATTTTTTAAATTATTTAAAGTTTTGATCAAACAATTAAAAAAATATTTTAAAACAAATATAAAATAAAAAAATGAATGATTTTTTTGAAACCAACAAAGCAATGAAATTGGTGATCATGTGACATCTACCATTTTGAGATTGCAATCCACACAAAATCTTATAAGCTCACTCATAATTTATGCAATGTAAAGGCTTAGAGTACACCACTAAGTTCCAAACCCAATCACCACACGCGCACACGCATGCATATATATATATATATATATATATATATATATATATATATATATATATATATATATATATATATATATATATAATCTCTCTCTTGCTAATTACAAAAAAGAGGGCATTTTTAAAAGATCTACTACTAGTTAATTATTAATAGTTAGGATAGCTTCCAAGCTTTACCACCATCGATGCTGAATTTCTTAAGTCTTCCGTAGAACATGACAAGAATGAGGATAAATTTTCCCTTGTTACTCCACCTTCCAACAAATCCAGTCCATGCATCTTTGCACAAGTTGTCTTGTTCAAGTTGTCGTTTGCAACTGTAGCCAGTTGAGAACCCAACATTTCCATATGCACTACAAAATGATTAATTTTACAAAGAGAGTTAATGATTTATAGAATACAAACAATCATTTGTTGATTATAATAACAAAAATGATTTGGACCGTCCTGTATAAACCTAATATCCAATCATTTTCCTGCAACAAAAATTGAAAAACTTGCCAATATACCTTACGACTTCTATGGTGATGCTGAGCACATTAAAGTTGAGGGGGTCTTTCTTCAACTTTTCTCTTTCTGTGATACAAATGAGAATCACGAAGATGACTAAGGAAGATAAAGGTGAAAGCAATAGGCACTGAACCAAAGACTTTCTTTGCTTTTTGCACTTTTGGTCGGTTCCTGAAACAACCTCTTCCTGTTGCTTTATTGGCAAAAATGAAGTGTGTGGTGGGAGATACCTGCAAAGACAAAATATTTGCAAGTTATGCTACATCACGGTCAAACCTCAGCACTAGAACCTATTCTTTTTTCTTTTTCTTTTTTTTTTTACAGACAACTTCAAACTTTTGATTCAAGTATGTGTTCTTAAAGAAGCTAAAAAATTTAGAAGAAAAAAATAAGAAATTTTTTGCTTCAAACTGAAACGAATTTGATCAGCTTGAAAGGGGGAATACAGTAGCAACAAGAATCAAGTATCCAATGATGACATACTTTTCATAAGCTTCGAGCAGTGTTCAAGGCAGGATTGATTAATTAATTATATTCTTTAAGTTTGATCAAAGTGATATTTTTGACTTCTTATGAGAGGTCCACTTCTTGTTATCATATCTAAATTAATTAAGATCGGTACATGGTGCTTTTGGGACAATTAAATTAAATAGGGTTTCTACTCGATTCCCTACTAACGGAATCCAACATATATATATATATATATATATATATATATATATATATATATATATATATATAATGAAAAAAATCACTAATTTTTTAATTAAGAATACTTTTTGAACCTAAAAAATAATAGAATTCTAGTGCTGAGTATTATATTTGATTGACAATATGTAGACCATCCGGCATATATTATCTAATCACCAAGTTGTAAAGTGGATATCTGACTCGAGAAAGGTTTGAACCCTAAATAATATTTTTGTGGGTTGTGCACACTTAATGTAATTAATTAAGCATCCACTTATGGCAAATCTTAAATTATGGGTCATAAAAAAATGGCCACATGTTTATATGATCCAACCATGGCTAAGTATTTTCTGGATGCGTCTGAATTTCTTGAAACGCACAAAAAATTATAATAAAGTTAAGGGTTAATGGTTCAATTTTCTTTTATATAATAAAATAATTCTTTAATTTGTTTTTTGGTTCCTAATCCGACCATTTTTTTTTAATTGAGATGAAGGATTTTACACTAAGACTGGACTTCTTTGAGTTTCTAATCTATGGTAAGATTTTTAAGATAAATTACCATAATTAATTACACAATTTATATACAAAAATTTTCTATTTGATTGATTTGCAATGGTAACTTGAAAATAAAAAATAATCATGTGTAACTGATATGAAATTAATAATTTTGATAGTTTGACTTAAAAAATCTTAACAAAATGGTATGTTGAAAATTTAACTTATATTTAAAGATTGAATTGACTCAATTAAAGAGGTAAAAATAAATTAAAAAAAAAAGAATAGATTTAGCTATTGACCCTAAAATTAATGGTTTTTAGGCTCCGTTTGTTTGGTGGAAAACAACTTTCATAGAAAAATTAATTCTCGAAGAAGTTATTTTTTGAGAAATTATTTTTCAAAAAAATATTTTTGCCGTTTAGCAATTACATGAAAAAACTACTGAAAAATATATTCTAATATTTATTTAATATAAAAAATTAAAATATAAAAGCGAGCATGTGATTGTTACATGAACGAGTTTTGAGAAAACTTCAAAAAGGCATATTCACAATTTCACAATATAAAATGCATTTAGAAAAATTTAATAAATTTTCGAAATACCGACTCTAAAATTTAAATTCAAAAAATAAAATGTACTTTTTTAACCATCAATCCAATTCATCAAAATTACTTAGACAAAATCAAGTCAATATTCACATTTAGTGTAAAAAAATAAAAATTATAAGTAATCCTAGCATTGCTATTTTGGTAACTCAATTAAGAATTCTTTTATTATTATTATTTTTATTTTTATTTTTTTGGAAATTGAATTGATAATTTAGTCTAAAAATAGCTTTATAAATTATTAGTTATCATTTTTAGATAATTATTCTTTGAATTTCAAAAGATTAATTTCGGAATAATTTGTAACTAATTATTCACTGCAATTACCAAAAAAATTTATAACTGATTAAAATTACAAATTATTGATTTAGTTGCAAATGAATAGTATTGAAAAAATAATGTATTTTCTAATGAATTAATTAATTTCAATTTTTTTTTACAAATGAATGCGAGTCTTGTAATAATGATTTCAAATTATTTAAGTATGATATAGGTGGTGTTTCGGATAATAGTAAAAAAAACAAAATAGAGATAAAGTATTGAAATATTTATTATAAAAATAATTTTAAGGTGTAAAAATGGTTTTTAAGAATATTTAATGTATTTATAAATCAAAAAATCAAATGTTAGTAGAAATAGAGAAAAAATAATTAAATAATTGATAAGGAATAATTAAAAATTAATTTGATATATTTTTTAAAAAAAAGATAGAGAAAAAATTATTAAAATATATCGAGAGAGAGGAAAGTAATACGAGAGTGAGACGACTCGTAAAAAGAAAAATGTTTTTCTCTTTTTTAACTCAAAAAACATTTTTTCAAAAATACTCTATCATTTTTCGTTAACTGAAAATCATTTTTCATTGATTTTTTTCCTAAATACAAAACAAACACTGAAAAATAAAAAAAATAAATTTTTAAAACTTGTTTTTCCTCAAACAAACACAGTTTTAAAGATATTATTAAAGAGATAAAGAAGTATAGCGGACACAAAATGTTGGGGCTTGTAGCTATATGACTGTGATACTGATAACTAATAATTATGAGAACACAAGCGGGAGAATGAAATAAAGAAATTATATTTATAAGATTCCCCTCCATTAATATTGTTCTATTTGGATTTGAAATATGCTATCCGTTTCGAATTGCATGCCAAGCGTTGGCCATTTTTTGGTGGTCACTATTGTGATTCCATATCAAATATATATATATAGGAGTAATAAAAAAAAAATTCTTGGAAAAAAATTAATTTTTAGTCTCAAAATGCATTGAGGTGGTTAAATTTTAAACTAGGTACTTCAATTCCTAATAAACTTTTTCTTAGCTCAAATTTAATTACTCATAAACTTTAGGAAAAAGAATCTTGATGTTTTAAGTAGGCTTAAAAGTTTGGTACCTGAGAATTGCAAGAGATTACTAGTTCAAAATCCCTTTTTTAAGAGTATTTGAGCTTTAAAAAAAAAAAATCCCATAACATCATTTTTGTAATTGTAGTCAATTCAGTCTATCATAATAATATTACCCATTTTCCTACCCCACTAACAACTAAAAACGCTAACTCCCAAACACCTAAAATTTACCTGGACTGTAGAAGACTACATATATATATATATAGAAATAAAGAAAGACTTACATCATAACCGCAAAGAGCACCAAGGTTGCTGGAGAGATGATGGAGATATCAACAACAGATTCACCAGAATGCCTAGAATTTACAACCTGAAACAATGCACCCATCACCTTCTGATAGGAATTCATATCATCCATAGCTCCTGAATTCCACTCCATAGAGCAAAAAAGGATAAACTGCACCATTATGAACCCCAAGACTGTAATAGCCACAAGGCATGACTGAGCAAAAGAGTGCAAATGGCCATAACCCATCTCCCTAGTATTCATCAGAATGTATCTGAACTCCACTTTCCTTGTGATTTTCTCCAAAACCCATATCGATAATCGCAGGCATGATGGGAATAATGTGTTTCCAAGAAGTGTTTGAGGGATGAGAATTAGGAGGAGACCTGAATTCTTCTTGAAAGCTATCATGTTCTCATTTGTAGGCACAAAACCACAGTTGGAAAAAGTAGAGGCTGTGGTGAACAAAGAAAATGTTTGTATTTTAAGGCCCTTACTGCTCAGGACTTCTCTTGCACTAGGAACTAGACTTGTATACATAGCAACTAAACTAGAACCAGTAATATGAACTACTAAGGAATAACCAAAAACCACAGTAGCTAGGCACTTGATGGAGTTAAGCTTTAGACAATGGTCATTGTCTGAAGAGTTGATATTACATTCTAGGTCGACATTGGGTGGTTTCTGATCAATCTCTAGCCCTGAAAAGGTGGTAGGTTTTGGAGGGCTATGGTAATTAGAAGTGACTCTACTTTCTTTGGTTTGTTGTTCAGAGAAATAGGACCTTGACAGATAAAGTCCAAGGACGGAAGTGAAGACCTCTCCACCCAATAACATCACAATGGTCATGATGATAAGTTGAGTGTTAGAGAAGACCTCCATTTCCACCGTTGACATGCTTGAAACTGTTGCGGAAGAAACAGAGGTGAAGAAGACGTCGAGGCTTGCAGGCGTAACTGAGCCTGCAGTTCTCGGCTTTGAAATCTTCAAAGCAAAATGTCCAACCAAGGAAAGGATTACAAAATAAGCAAGTTGAACATAAAAAGGGTGTATTTGAAAGACTAGGACACGAAGGAAGGACCGGACTGAACTTTTGGAAGATTTATGGAAGCAACTTAGTTTGGAGGTGCAAAAGAAATTACAAAGATGCTCTAATTTCTTACCAAGAAAAGCAAAGTTCTTCATCTTTACTGCCAAGAAATATTTGCTTTGCTTGGTCACATCCCTTCACTGGCATATGGTGTTTATAAAAGAGCAACACCGATTCTATTAGCTAAGCTAGAAAGTACTCCAACTTTAGTGGGATTTCACTGTGAATTTTTGGCTCCTTATCTAATCAAGCTTAGTGGAATATTAAAAAAAATTAAAAGATTACGAATGTTCGTTATTAATAATTGCCAACTTTTATTTGAATTCCGTCAATAAACAAACACAAAAAACTATGATTCTAAATAGAAGGTTTGTTGAGTATAATTAAGGTTTCAATTTCGTAAGGTGACATATCCGCATTGTTCACCTTGTTGAAAATAAGAAATTCCGGGATAAGGTAGATGACATTAATTGGGGCATATGTTGTGTTGGAAACTTGGACATGACTGACGACTACAATGCCTAAGTCAATCACTTAGAGTTGTCCTGCGTATAGTTTTAAACTGCAAAGCCGATTGAAAAAACAATATTCACACTTATCATAATACTAAAATTAAAATTATAGTAATGATTATTATATTGAATAATAATAATAAAATATTCTAAAATCATTATATAATGTAATGATTATTATTTAAATTTATGGCTATGCGTACTGTAACACCTAAGAGGAGCTCCTTCCGTGTCAAACATTTTCATTCATCTCATTAGACCATATGTAGAGGTGTGCACTATTCGATGAAAATCAAAAAATCGAACCGAACCATATCGAAATATCAATTTTGATGTAGTTTTTTTTTTAGAAATTAAAAAAAAACCCGAACCGATATATAATCAATTTTCGGTTTCGGTTTTTTTAAAAAAAAATTGATTAACTGAATAACCGAATTATTAATTTTTTTTTTAATTCATGAGTGAAACGACTTGGTTTCACTCCTTTCTGAATTCACTAATCTAAAATCACAAGTTCTTCTTCATCGGTTCGTCTTCCTTGTTCCTAAAATTTAAAAAAAATTTAATTTTTTTTTACTTTTTTTATTTCTTAAAAAAAAAATCAAAATAAATTGTAAAAATGTAGAGACTAAATTTGTTTCTCAAAACTAGAGGGATTAATTTATCATTTATTTTATAAAACTTCAAGAGTTAAAAATGTTCTTCGACAAATGAACTAAATTTAAACATTGATCATATAGTATTTTACATTGACTAATTTAATTGTAAAATATTTTATCGAAACAAATATAAGAAAATAAAAAAAAATCTTGAGTATTAATTACAGGTGAAAACCGAATTATCGAATAAAAAAAAACATGTATATTTCGAAACCGAACCGAAAAACCGAATAATAATTCGATTTGGTTTCGGTTATTTTTTTAACAATTCGGTTAATCGAAAATCGATTAAAAAATTTCAAAACCAAACCAAATTACCGAACGAACACCCCTAACCATATGAAAGTTAAAACTTTCATAATAATAAATAAAAATAAAAAATAGATAGATTGTTTTTTTTTTTTTTTGAAAATTTTTGAGTTCAAAATAAATGTTCTATAATAAGTTGATTAATTAATTTAATAAGATTTGTGAGTTAACACATTTCGTTGATACCCTCCAACGAATCCAATCGAATTGTATACTGTGGTTTGTACAATATTATACAGGATCAAGCTGATCAGCTTGAGCAATGAAAAATTATAAGAAATAACATTGAGAATGAGAAATTTTCTCTACCACACCCAAATTTTTGTTTTATATGTTTAGTATTTGTACAGGAAGCACATGCGTAACATTGAGCATTTTGGTTGTTTGAAAACTATAATGTTGGATTTAATTAATTTCTTCTTTGACATAACTGTAAGATTGCATACAGATTGAGTTATAATTCGAATCTGAGACAAACTTGAGAACTCAAAGTATTATTGGAAATGGAATGTTCAAAATATTAAAGCAAGCCCAACACAACTCAATGGCAATAAACTATTGCATTGGTCCCATAATTTTTGTGTAATCATAGCCGCATTATTTTGCCTGTGTAATTCAATCCACCTGTAAAGTTATTTGGAGCATGATGATCTTCTTTTCATTGAGAACGTAAAGAGATCTCAGCAAAAAAAACAATTAGAAACGGGCACTAAAGCTCATGAAGGGAAGTACGGAATCACAAAGGTGCTTTGGTAGTAAAAGTTACATTCGTGAGGTTTTAGATTCAATATTTTTTTTTATATATTTTGTACCTTCATTATTATTAGAGAACATATCTCATATTAAATACTTAAACAAAAAATAAATAATATATAAAATTAAAAATAGATTTATCATAAGATTTAAGTTTTTAAAATAAAATTTAATCTCAACTATCAAAATTTATATAAAATTAGAGCCTCAAAGAGGAGCAATAGTCCAATAAAAATACTAAAGTTCAAGTTAACGATTCCAAAAAATGGACTCGCTAATGAGAAAAAGTGATATATATATTTTTGTGTGTGTGTGTGTGTGAAGTTGAGAATAATTAAATAAAAATAAATAGTAAGTAAAGTTGAAAAGGAGTCACATACCGAAGGATTTTAATTCTAAAAATTAGGTTTAATTAATTAAAATGCAAAGACTCGTTATTAAGCTCTTTTAGCCATATATATATATATATATATATATATATATATATATATATATATATATATATATGATGTGTGTGTGTGTGAAGTTGAGAATAATTAAATAAAAATAAATAATATATAAAGTTGGAAAAAAAAGTCACGTACCAAAAGGATTTTAATTCCAAAAATTAGGTTTAATTAATTAAAATGCAAAGACTAAGCTCTTGTAGTTGTAATATATATATATGTGTGTGTGAAGTTGAGAATAATTAAATAAAAATAAATACCATATAAAGTTGAAATGGAGTCACATACCAAAAGGATTTTAATTCTGAAAATTAGGTTCAATTATTACAATGCAAAGACTCGTTCTTAAGCTCTTGTAGTTGTAATACCAAAATTTAAATCCCTCAACCTCTATTTAAAAAAAAATCATATATAATACACCTCATTTACTAGAGTGGAACTAAATCTAGTATTATACTTCCTCTATCTTAAACAGATTGTTATTTTGATTTTCAACATAAATTAAAAAAAAAAATTTATTAACTGTTATGTGATATCAGTATTTTTTGTTTATACTTTTCCAAAAAATATATATTTTTTTTTACAATTTTATTTGGATAATTTTTAATAAAATAAATTTCAATTAATAGTATTTTTAAAAAATACATCATTTAAAATTTTGATCAAACAAATATTTTAGAACATATATAAATAAAAATATGGACAATCTTTTAAGACAAAATAAGAAATAATAATCTCTTGATCCTATAGGTTGGTATTTTTTTTTTTTCAGCACATTTTCAGTCCACTATCTTTATTCTTGACTGAGATTATGTTCTTTTCCATGGCTATTCATGAAAATTCATTTTTAAGTAATTAAGAAAATTATTAGTAGTATCACTGTCACCTTTTAAAAAGTATATTTGAGTACTTATATCTTTCAACTAAACAAATGGCAGTACACTGTATCTAACTGAATTTTTAGTTTAAAAAGTCATTCACTTTGTCTTGAGATTTGGAATCAAATTGAATTCCATCACAGATGTTGGCATAGAAAAGAAGACTACACAAATCATTTTATTATTTATTTTTTAAAATACTTTGTATCAATTTTCACATAATAAGTCCATTTTGATTGTGTTAGAGAATAATATAAATTATATTCTGAAACATCACTTAATAGGTTAAATTTTTGAATGAGTTGATCTTTTGACATGGTATCTAAGCTTCACCAACATTTCTCTTCTAATTAATTAAGCATAAGATAGTGAAAGATTGTGCAAGTTTCAAACCTAAAAGGTTTTCACTTGAAAGAGTGTGAGAGAAAGAATAATATAAACTATAGCCTAATCTTTTGAATGAGATAGTACTTATTTATCTTCAACCTATAACATTTCATGTCTTCTAACATCTGAATTAATTGAATCCATAGTGAAGAATGATGAAGACTGACACTTCCAATGTGTGGCACAAAATTTTGGCCTCCACACAGCTACCATTTTGCTGGTGGGGCTGCTGCACGACCTTGACAATGGTGTAGTTTACACCTTTTCATTTTTTAATTTAGAATTGCCATGCATTACCAGGAGTGGGTTCTTTTCTATTTTAACTGTAAGTTACCGTAAAAGGGACAGCTTAATTGTGTATTGCCTACTTGTTATTTTCTCGGATTTTCTAGAGAATGTTTAAGTTTTTCGAGAAAATTAATATTAGGTGAATCTGACTTACCATAAGAGGACTCGTTTTATTTGTTGATGGTGAGTTGGACTGATGCAACCATTGATTTATCTGTTTTGGATCCTTCTTAAACTAGTCAAGTTTTTCACTGCATCTCCAGCACATTGTGGTCCTTGATGCCATGCGACTGAACAAATTCAAGTTGTCCACATGCTTCCCATTGGGTATAGTCCCAACCGTGGGATTGAACTAACCATGCCTCCTACTAGAAATAACAGCCCTCTAAATGCAAGCAAAAAGTGCTTTTGATTTCTTAAATTCTAAGGTTTTTGCAATAATGTCTGGCGTCAGCTAATTTCTCACTGATCATCAGCAGCGGTTTCAGCACTCTAAACACACATTAACTCAAATTATCTATATAAACACCGGCCCGAACCATAACGAAAAATGAAATGCTTAAATTGGGAGGTAGAGAGACTCAATATTTGTTGCAATCAACATGCAAAATCACAACCAGGTACATTATAGGAGAAGGATCCAAACTAATGAATTGAATAAGCGGAATTAAATTGCATGCCAACAATGAAGAAATGGAAGCATGGGATTAAATTGCAGAAAAACTAACTCGGCTCATATTATGCGAGCACAGTCGCCTGCTTCGCGTATCCATGCAACCTTCTCCGAGTAGATTTGACTCTCCAGTTTAGGTTGGGCCTTGCGATATTCTTCCGTAACAAAAGTGACAGCTTCTTCTGCCAGATTAGCGTCTGCAAGTGCAAGACGTACAACAATCTCTAAATCCAGCACCACTAAAACGTGTTCCAAATACACTAGGGCCCTCAGAAGAATCTCATACACTTGTATCATGTTGAACTAAAAAATCACTACTCACCCAGAATGGTCTGCGTGAATAGTAATTTTGTTGAATGTCATGTCTCACAAGCTACTGTTCAAAAGTCAGTTAGCCATGCTCCATGTTCCTAAAGTTTAGGAAATTTTTTAATTTTCAGTTGAAAGTTTTTATGTATTTAAGGATGTTTTACATCAATGAAAATTTAGATATTGTTGTTACAAAAAAAAAAAAAAAACATTTTACTTGTGCTGGGCCTTTTTTTTTTTTTTTTTTTGCCAAAGAAACCTACGATAGCTATATTATCTTGAAGGACATGTGAGATTAAGTGAACCTTAAACACATATTTCAAACCCTTCACAAATACAAATCTTATAAATAATTTCAACAAATAGAATCAGACGCAGCATTCACATTAGTTTCGCCACCAATCTTGATGCTGAAAACTATCAAGTTTGGGCTATTGGAATAGTAGTTCATCTTGATGTATTAGATCTCTAAAAGACACTAGAGGATGATTGTGATGTTCCTGCATTGCCAACCAATCCAACCAGGGCTCAACTCAAAAATCACAAGGAGATAAAGACTAGAAAATCCAAAACAAGACTTGCCTATTCTCTGTTGTATCAAATACTATTTTCACCAGAATTATGAGCCTAGAATCTACAAATAGATATTCTGGATTTTCTCAAAGAAAAGTGCTAGGGCAATGAGAGGACAAAGAACATGCAAGTGCTGAATTTGATCAAAAATTTTGAAATACAGAGAATGAAGAATTCAGAATCAATCAAACATTATTCTGACAAGGTGTTCAACATAGTAAATAAGGTGAGATGGAAAATTTTATAATACACAAGGAATAACTAGTAGCATGTACGGTAGTTACTCCTTGTATCCACTTTGAGGAGATAGATAGACACATAAAAAAGAGAGAAATTACATTTATATCCACCAAAAGTGATAAAGAAGATTTCACGTCTGCTCAAATTTTTTATTTTCTCTCTCCTATTTTTCTCTTTCTCTTTTTGTGTGTTTATCTCTCTCCTCAAAGTGGAGCCAGGAGTAACTACTGTACATGCCACTAGTTACTCCTTGTGTATTATAAAATTTATCAAGGTGAGATTACTTGGTAAGGATTTTTTTTATTTAAAAAAAAAAAAAAAACTTGTTTAAAAGATTCTGTTTACACTATCCGAAAAGTATGAGGCTAAAATCTTTTCTTTGAATGAGTCAAAACACCCACCGAACAAAGAAAGCTTATAAGACAAGAAGGATATACGGAGGGTGCTTTTCAAGCCCAATCATAGAACAAAAATTGCAGCAAGAATAAGGAAAATAAAATAAAAAAACAGAACAACAACAAACTTGAAACTTTTCTACCCTACCCATACTATAAAAAGATCAACAATCCACAGAAATGGTGTTGGTGGAGACTAGATGTTTAATGCAAGAATTTGCAGGTCTGGACAACAATGTGAAGAAGCAAAGGGTGCTGTGGAGAGCATAAAAGATAGGTGTGATCCAGCAGTGATCTAGCAAAACAAAATGAGAGATTTAGTCTCGATTAAAGCAAAAAATAATTTGAAACTAACCTACTATTGTATGTGTGCGCGCACAACACGCGCATGCATATTTGTATGTATATAAACTAGCTAATTACCACCACGGAATATAGTCTAATGGTAAGAGAGTTGTCTTGATTTGGCCGAGACTAAAATTCAATTCTCACTACTTACAAATAATTAATCATAATTATTATGCAATGGTACCAAGTTTGAGTTCATTTGATCTAAGAGAGAGCTCAATGATTGATCAAAGAATAAGAGTGTTCTAGCGCTAGTTTAGCTAAGTAGTGGATTTGGTCTTAGTTGATAAACCCGACTTGATGATACTTCACTATCTATTAAGAAAAAAAAAAACTGCTAATTACCAAAACATAAGGCATTTCTTAAAGCTCTACTACAAGTTAATGATTAATAGATAGGATAGCTTCCAAGCTTTACCACTATTGATGCTTGTTAGGATAGCTTCCAAGCTTTATCACTATTTATGCTTGTTAGAAAATTATATAAATCATATCTTAGAATCTCATCTAATAATTTAACATTTTAGGTTAAAATGATTTTTTAACATAGTATTAGAATCTTGCTAACATAACACTCAAAAATTCGAATTCTACCACTTTCATTTTTTTTTATTTTCACTTTAAAAGATGTTTTAGAAAATAATAAAAATCATGTTTGAAACTTCATCTAATAGATTAATCTTGTGGGTTGAGATGTTTTTTACAATGTTGAATTTCTTAAGCCTACCAAAGAACATGACAAGGATGAGGATAAATTGTCCCATGTTATTCCACCTTCCAACATATCCAAACCATTAAAAAATGCACTAGTTGTCTGGTTCAAGTTGTCGTTTGCAGCTGTAGCCAGTTGAGAGCCCCACATTTGCATATGCGCTACAAAATGATTAATTTCACAATATAGAGTTAATAATTTATAGAATAAAAACAATCATTTGTTGAACGGTTGTTCAATTATACGTGAGCCTAATATCCAAATCATTTTCGGGTAATAAAATTGAAACACTTGCCAATATATATACCTTACGACTTCTATGGTGATTTTGAGCACATTAAAGTCGAAGGCCTCTTGCTTCAACTTTTCTCTCTCTGTGATACAAATGAGAATCACAAAGATGAGTAAGGAAGAAGGAAGATAAAGGTCAAAAAGGCACTGAACCAAAGATGTCCTTTGGTTTTTTGCATTTTTGGTCAGTTCCTGAACCAACCTCTTCCTGTTGCTTTATTTGCAAAAATGACGTGTATGGTGGGAGATACCTGCAAATACAAAATATTGTCTAATCATAAAAATGGATTCAGTAATGGATCCAAGATTATAAGGATAGGAGGCAGTCATGACTCAGATTGCAAGAAGTGGGCTAGAAATTTTATACTGATATTAGACTTCAATTTGGATTGGCCTTATAAATCAATTCAACCTTAATTGTAAACTAGCATAGCATCAAATTCCTTAAATTTCTCACCTTCATCTTTATTGAATCTTTTTTTCCTTTCAAGAAATTGAGAACAATTCTGGAAGTGGGTTATTCTTTATTATTATTATTATTATTTTAAGACAAGTTGAAACTTTTGATTTAAGTACATATTATTGAAGAAGCTAAGAATTTTTAGAAGAAAAGAAATACCAGAAATAATTTGCTTCAAACTGAAACGAATTTGAGCTTGCAAGGGGCAATACACCAGTAACAACAATCAATTATCTAATGATAATATACTTTTTGATAAGCTTCTAGCAGTGTCCAAGGCAGGATCGATTAATTAATTATATGCTCTACGATTGCTCAAAAAGATAAATTGACTTTTTATGAGAAGTCCACTTCTTGGTATCACATCTAAATTTAGAAAGGGTTTTTACTCGATCCACTATCAATGCAACCCCACCTTTATGATAGCCATGCACGCACGAGACAAACATATAGAAAAAATGGAGAGAGGTCAGAGTCAGAATCAATGAAAAGCTTTGGCGACTCAACTAAAAGACATGCAAAGTGGGAAAAAGAAAAAAATCTCTATAGTGTTAATTAAGAATACTTTTTTTTAACATAAAAATAATACAATTCTAGTGCTGATAATAACATTTGATTGATAATACATAGTCCATACAGCATACAGTACCTAAGCACCAAGTTGTAATGTGGATATCTGACTCAAGAAAGGTCGAACCCTAATATTTTTAGGGGTTGTGCACAGGTAATTAATTAATTCCAATGACAATAAAATCATATAGAACTTTGGCTCGTTGTGCCATATATGATTGGATCTTATGTTTCAAGATTCTAATGACATCGAAGAATGGCCACATGTTTGTATATATAATTCAGCCATCGCTAAATATTCTCTCGATGTCTCTGGATTTCTTCAAAAGCACCGAAATTATCAATAAAGTTAATGGTTCCGTAATATTATAATAAGGGGATAAGGAAGTATGGCCAAACACAAAATGATGGGGCTTGTAGCTATATGACAGTGATATTGCTAATTGATAATTATGAGAACATAAAATAGGAGAGCAAAATAAATAATTTAAATTTTTTAATTTTTCGTTTCGAACAAAAATAATCATATTTTTAATAGAAGATGAGAATATTTAAAAAAAAATTAATGTTGTAGGGTGTTATCAAGAAATAAAAGTCTGTAATAGAAATACAGAAATGTTTTTTTTTTTTTTGTCAGCAAGATTTTTCACACGACACAGATCGACTAAAAAATGAAATGGCAACAAAGTCTTCCAAGCCCAAATTAAATTTCAAAATCTCTAAATTATTAAATTTTTTTGTCATTTAATTTATCTCTATAACCTAACTCCCCCTCTACTATTTATACCTTCTCCCCAGCCCCAAACATTACAAGATAACAACGAATTAGACCATCGCTAATTCAGATCCAGCGGTTATTTAGGGATTATAAATTTTAACGATGGTTTTTGAATCATCGTTAATTTTATCCAAAAATTCGAAAATAGCCATTTCTCCTTAATAGTCAAAATTTAGCGATGGTTTTCAAAACTTTCACAACTTCCTTGCAAAAAAAATTTAAAATTAACGAGCTAATTTTATGTTAATTTGCAACGGTTTGAAAAAAAAAAAAGTTGCAAAAAATTAAAATTAGTGAGCTAATTTTTTATTGATTAGTGATGGTTTAAAAAAACCATGGTTAATCTCTTTTCGCAAACTACAATTATGTTTTAGTGAAATTCACACATCCTTCTCCAACATGCTCCATGCGTCTCTCTCAAAACTCTCTCTTTGGTGTCCAAGAAGTTCCTCTCTTTACTTCCAGCATTCCTAGATTCCAAAAGTCTTTTAGATGGCCTGTATTTTGTTCTCTCTTTTTATGGCCTTTCTGTCTCCTGCTATTCTTACATGGGCTTTTGCTTTTGGTGGTATTGCGTGGAAAAATGGAAGAAACCGAAAAGGTCACCGCTTCATTCCTGGTCCTCGAGGCTTGCCAATCTTTGGTAGCCTTTCCACTTCGAACCGAGGCTTGACTTATCGCACTCTGGCTTCCATGGCTTGCAATCGAGCAAACACTCAACTCATGGCTTTTAGTCTCGGCTCCACTGCTGCCGTGGCCGCTTCTGAACCTCATACTGCCTGAGAAATCTTAACCTCTCCCCATTTTGCTGACCACCCCATTAGACATTCAGCTAAGAGCCCCGCTAATCCAAGTCTTAGAGAGAGAAAGGAAGAGGGATTGGATTTGGAAATGAAATTTGGATTTAGAGGGCTTTTTGTCATTTAATTTTTTGAGTGATTTGTGTCGTTAACGTGTCTGAGAAATATGTCTCTTAGATGATACGTGTTTTAAAGCAAAAAATCTCAGGTGAGATTCTTCAATAAAAAAGAAAGATTTAATTACTGACAAAAAAATTTGAAATTTAAATAAAAAAAATTAAAAGTAGGAAACTATTTTTATTTAACTAAAAATTTAAAATACTATAAATCAATTAGCTCATGAAATTTATTTGTACAAATTAATTGAGGACGTGGACGGATGATGTAGTAGAAATGTCAAATATGTTTAGGGTTCACAACAACAATAATTTTAAACAAATCTACTTCAAGAAAAGGATTCTTTTAAAAATATGGGCTAAACTTCTTTTGTTTTACCAATCCATAGAAAGATGGATTGGTAGGAATTCTAGTTTGTCAATTAGAATTTTCGACTTCTAGTCTTTTATGTGAGATTTGATCCATATTTTCAACATGGTAATTTAATTCCTCAATTTGTGGTTAATTTGGTTTCTAACATTAACAGGGGTATAGATCATATATAGAGCAAGAAATATCATGCAAGATTGTGGTCAATCTACCATTTGAGATTGCAATCCACACAAAATATTATAAGATCACTCATAATTTATGCAATTAAAGGGCTTAGAGTACATAACTAAATTTCAGGCCCAATTACTAACTACATCTAATTGCACATATAAAAAAGAGGGAATTTTTAAAAGCTCTACTACTAGTTAATTATTAATAGTTAGTATAGCTTCCAAGCTTTACCACCATTGATGCTGAATTTCTTAAGCCTTCCAAAGAACATGACAAGAATAAGGATAAATTTTCCCTTGTTACTCCACCGTCCAACAAATCCAGTGCATGCATCTTTGCACAAGCTGTCTGGTTCAAGTTGTCGTTTGCAACTGTAGCCAGTTGAGAACCCAACATTTCCATATGCACTACAAAATGATTAATTTTACAATATAGAGTTAATGATTTATAGAATATAAACAATCATTTGTTGATTATAATAACAAAAATGATTTGGACCGTCTTGTATAAACCTAATATCCAAATCATTTTCCTATAACAAAAATTGAAAAACTTCCCAATATACCTTACGACTTCTATGGTGATGCTGAGCACATTAAAGTTGAGGGGGTCTTTTTTCAACTTTTCTCTCTCTGTGATACAAATGAGAATCACGAAGATGACTAAGGAAGATAAAGGTGAAAGCAATAGGCACTGAACCAAAGACTTTCTTTGCTTTTTGCACTTTTGGTCGGTTCCTGAAACAACCTCTTCCTGTTGCTTTATTGGCCAAAATGAAGTGTGCGGTGGGAGATACCTGCAAAGACAAAATATTATCTAATCATCAAGATGGATTTAGTGATGGATCTTGCTCTTAGTTATGCTACATCATGGTCAAACCTCAGCACTAGACCTTATTCTTCTTCTTCTTTTTTTTTTTTTTTATCTGTTAGAGACAACTTCAAACTTTTGATTCAAGTATATGTTATGAAAGAAGCTAAAAATTTTAGAAGAAAAAAATGAGAAGTAATTTGCTTCAAACTGAAACGAATTTGAGCTTGGAGGGGGAATACAGTAGCAACAAGAATCAAGTATCTAATGATAATATACTTTTGGTAAGCTTCGAGTCGTGCTCAAGGTAGGATTGATTAATTAATTATATTCTTTATGTTTGAACAAAATGATATTTTTGACTTCTTGGTATCATATCTAAACTAATTAAGATCGGTACATGGTGCATGCTTTTGGGACAATTAAATTAAATAGGGTTTCTACTCGATTCCCTACCAACGGAATCCAACATATATATATATATACATATGAAGAGAGCTTAGAATGAATGAAAGAAACTTTGGCAGATTAACTAAAGGGCATACAAAGTGGGAAAACGAAAAAAAAAACCACTAAGTGTTTTAATCAAGAATACTTTTTGAACCTAAAAAATAATAGAATTCGAGTGCTGAGTATTATATTTGATTTACAATATGTAGACCATCCGGCATATATTATCTAATAACCAAGTTGATATCTGACTCAAGAAAGGTTTGAACCCTAATTAATATTTTTGTGGGTTGTGCACAATTAATGTAATTAATTAAGTATCCACACATGGCAAATCTTAAAGTATGGGTCATAAAAAAATGGCCACATGTTTGTATGATCCAACCATGGCTAAGTATTTTCTGGATGCTCTGAATTTCTTGAAAAGCACAAAAAATTATAATAAAGTTAAGGTTTAATGGTTAAATTTTCTTTTATATAATAAAATAATTCTTTAAATTTTTTTTTGTTCTTAATCCAACCAATTTTATCATTTTTTTTTTTTGTTATTGAGATGAAGGATTTTATACTAAGACTGGACTTCATTGAGTTCCTAATCTATGGTAAGATTTTTAAGATAAATTACCATAATTAATTACATGATTTGTATACAAAAATTTTCTATTTGATTGATTTGCAATGATAATTTGAGAATAAAAAATAATCATGTGTAAATCACGTGAATAATTTTGATAATTTGATGTAAAAATCTTAACAAAATGGTATATTGAAAATTTAACTTATATTTGAAGATGGAATTGACTCAATTAAAGAGTTAAAAACAGATTAAAAAAATAAGAATAGATTCAGCTATTGACCTTAAAATTAATGGTTTTTCGAGATAACTAGTTGATTGCTCATGCTATGCTTGTGAGTTCGATAGAATAAAATCGTTTTAAATTTTTTAATTATAATTTTTTATTTAATTAATTTTTTAATGTTTTTTTATAAATTTTTTGACAAAAAAAATATAAATTCTTCTTCTTTATGGATTGATTTTAAAATAAAAAATTATAATAATGTTAACTAAAATATTAATCAAGAATTAAAAAATTTTAAAAATATAATTTTCATAATATTGTATTCTAAAAAATAAATTTATAATTAATAGATAAACTTTTACCAAAATTAACAAATGAAAAAAAAATCTTATTTAATGCTGATAAAAAGATTAATTTTTGAAATAAAACGCGCAACGATATAGGTAGATAGAACAAAATTATTTCAAAATTTCATAATTTTTTAATTAATTTTTTATTCCATTATAACTATTTTTTTGTGTTTTTCATAAAATTTATTTAAAATTTCAAAACTTGTAATAATTTAAACCCGAAATATTTATAAAGAATTCAAAAAAAAATACTTTAAAATTATCTTTTTTACAAGAATGTATCTAAAAAATAAAGTTACAATTAATGTATAGACTTTCATAAAAATTAACCAATGCAAAAATAAAATTTTATTCTTATTTAATGTTGGTGAGAGGAATTTTTTTTTTTTTTGTGCAAGTATATGCATTTGATCTATATATATTTATTTACAAAATAATCAATAAAATTAGCATAAAAAAACTATATTTGAATAATTGTTTGGTTCCTTTAAAAAAATTATTTTAATTATTTTATTTCAAATAAATTGGTTCTATAATGTTAAAAAAATATTCATAGTAAATAATTTGTATTATGTTGGAAGATGTATAGTTAATTTTTAATATAAAAATAAGAATAAAAATTAAATTGAGTGAATTTTTATAATAAATTGAAAATATCAATTTTAAACAATAAGAATAGCATATATTTATTATAAAATTTAAAAATATATCGCATATATTATATAATTGTCAATTTATGTGGAAAAAAATAATTATATTGGAAATGTATAGTTAATTTTTAATATAAAAATAAGAATAAAAGTTAACTTGATGTGAATTTTTATAATAAATTAAAAAGATCAATTTTAAACAATAAGAATAGTATATATTTATTCTAAAATCTAAAAACATATCGTATATATTATATAATCGTCGAGTTTATGTGAAAAAAATAACAATTGATTTTTTAAAATTTTAACACCCGAGTTAAATTTAAAAAAAAAAACATAATTTATTCTAAAATCTAAAAATATATCGTATATATTATATAATCGTCGATTTACGTAAAAAAATAATGATTGATTTTTTAAAATTTTAACACCTAGTTAAATAAATAAAAAAAGGATATAAATTGATGATAAAAATCAAAGGAAAAACCAAAAAAAAAAAAAACATTTGTTGTGCATCAGCTAAGGACTTAAATTTTTTATTTTAAAATTTTAAGGACCAAAATGAAATAATTTTAAAATTACGAAAAAAAATTAGATGCATAGCGATTTGTGAAGGATGAACATTGATTTTAACTATTAAAAGCACCCACTTGTTTTAGATATATAGTAATATTAAAGGGACAAAGAAGTACAGCAGACACAACATGTTGAGGCTTGTAGCTATATGACTGTGATATTGATAACTAATAATTATGAGAACACAAGCGGGAGAATGAAATAAAGAACTTCTATTTATAAGATTCCCCTCCATTAATATTGTTCTATTTGGATTTGAAATATGCTATCCGTTTCGAATTGCATGCCAACCGTTGGCCATTTTTTGGTGGTCACTATTGTGATTCCATATCAAATATAGTGTTTGTATATATATATATATAGGAGTAATCCAAAAAAAAAATTCTTGGAAAGAAATTAATTTTTAGTCTCAACATGCATTAAGGTGGTTAAATTTTAAACTAGGTACTTCAATTCCTAATAAACCTTTTTTAGCTCAAATTTAATTACTCATAAACTTTAGGAAAAAGAATCTTGATGTTTTAATTAGGCTTTTAAAAGTTTGGTACCTGAGAATTGCAAGAGATTACTAGTTCAAAATTCTTTTTTAGAATATTTGAGCTTTAAAAAAAAAAATCACATTTCAAGAGAAGGCTAAAGTAGTTCTTCGTTTTTGTAATTGTAGTCAATTCAGTCTATATAATAATATCATCCATTTTATATAAATAGAAAGAAAGAAAGACTTACATCATAACCACAAAGAGCACCAAGGTTGCTGGAGAGATGATGGAGAGATCAACAACAGATTCACCAGAATGCCTAGAATTTACAACCTGAAACAATGCACCCATCACCTTCTGATAGGAATTCATATCATCCATAGCTCCTGAATTCCACTCCATAGAGCAAAAAAGGATAAACTGCACCATTATGAACCCCAAGACTGTAATAGCCAGAAGGCATGACTGAGCAAAAGAGAGCAAATGGCCATAACCCATCTCCCTAGTATTCATCAGAATGTATCTGAACTCCACTTTCCTTGTGATTTTCTCCAAAACCCATATCGATAATCGCAGGCATGATGGGAATAATGTGTTTCCAAGAAGTGTTTGAGGGATAAGAATTAGGAGAAGACCTGAATTCTTCTTAAAAGCTACCATGCTCTCATTTGTAGGCACAAAACCACCGTTGGAAAAAGTAGAGGCTGTAGTGAACAAAGAAAATGTTTGTATTTTAAGGCCCTTACTGCTCAGGACTTCTCTTGCACTAGGTACAAGACTTATATACATAGCAACTAAAATAGAACCAGTAATATGAACTACTAAGAAATAACCAAAAACCACATAAGCTAGGCACTTGATGGAGTTAAGCTTTAGACTTTGGTCATTGTCTGAAGAGTTGATATTACATTCTAGGTCGACATTGGGTGGTTTCTGATCAATCTCTAGCCCTGAAAAGGTGGTAGGTTTTGGAGGGCTATGGTAATTAGAAGTGACTCTACTTTCTTTGGTTTGTTGTTTAGAGAAATAGGACCTTGACAGATAAAGTCCAAGTACGGAAATTAAGACCTCTCCACCCAAAAACATCAAACTGGTCATGATGAGAAGTTGAGTGTTAGAGAAGACCTCCATTTCCATCGTTGACATGCTTGAAACTGTTACAGAAGAAACAGAGGTGAAGAAGATGTCAAGACTTGCAGGCCTAAATGAGCCTGCGGTTCTCGGCTTTGAAATCTTCAAAGCCAAATGTCCAACCAAGGAAAGGATTACAAAATAAGCAAGTTGAACACAAAAAGGGTGCATTTGAAAGACTAGGACACGAAGGAAGGACAGGACTGAACATTTGGAAGATTTAAGGAAGCAGCTTAGTTTGCAGGTACGAAAGAAGTTACAAAGATGCTCTAATTTCTTACCAAGAAAAGCAAAGTTCTTCATCTTTACTGCCAAGAAACTATTTGCTTTGCTTGGTCACATCCCTTCAGTGGGATACGGTGTTTATAAAAGAGCAATACCGACTCTACTAGCTAGCTGGATAGTACTCCAACTTTAGTGGGATTTCACTGTGAATTTGTGGCTCCCTATCTAATCAGGCTTAGTGGAATATTAAAAAAAATAATAATAAATCAAAGGTTGCGAATGTTCGTTATTAATAATTTCCAACTGTTATTTGAATTATTTGAATTCCGTCGACAAATAAAAACTAAAAAACATGAGTCTAAATGGAAGGTTTGTTCAGTTAACGTTTAAGTTTTCAATTTCGTAAGGTGGCATGTCAGCATTGTTCACCTTGTTGAAAATGAAGAAATTCCGGAAAACTTGGACATGACTGATGACTCTAATGCCTGATTCACTCACGTAGTGTTGTCCCGCATGTTATATAATGACTGATGACTCTAGAATAGTTATATAATGGTCATTATATCAATCACTTTCATTCCTCTCATGAACATATGTAGCACTCACAATTACAGTTCAAATTGAATTATTTTTTAATAATTGATGTAATTCAGAAGTGATATTAATTTGTTAACCAACAGTATGTCAGTCCATAACTATTATAGCATTGTAAATATTACGCATCTTGTTCAGAAGAAAAACAACATTTAGTACAGGATTAATGATTTGGACGATATATCTTGGGTTTGTTTTTAATATTACTTTCTACCATAATATCTATTTTTGTTATTCTAATGTATAAAGCTATACTATAAAAAGATAGGGGTTTAATAAATATCAATCTAGAATGTCATCTTCATATTCAAATATTGATATATAGATAATATATATTAATTATCTATATTGAATATAAGTAAAGTTCAAATTTGATTTTTTTCTTCATATATTTAATTTGTATGGGTTCCAATTAATCTAGAATAATTAAAAGGCACATCTTTTTTGATTATTTTCAATATGAATCTCGAAATCCATTTAAATAATCAAATCAATGAAATATATATATATTCGACTGTAAGGGGGTAAAGACTCATTGTTGATCTTTGCGTTGTAACATCCATATTTAAATCCCTCAACCTCTATTTCTTTCAAAAAAAAATAAAAAATAAAAATAAACATGATAGACCTCACTTACTAGAGTGGACGTAAACCACTAAATTCAGTATTATAAAAATATTGATAATCTCTCGATGCTATATGTTGGTATTTTTTATATGTTTTTTTCAGCACGCGTTCAATTTTGCATTAAAGGAACGTCGCTCTCTTTATTCTTCAATGGGGTTACGTTCTTTTCCAAGACTGTTCATGAAAAATCATTTTAACATGATTGAGTAATTAAGAATATTATTAGTAGTGTCACTATCACCTTTGAAAAAAGTATTTACATGTACCTTAGATGCTTTTATACTAAACAAATAGCACTAAACTATATTTAATTAAATTCTTAGTTCAGAAGGTCATTCACTTTGTCATGAGATTCCGAATCAAATTAAATTCGACCACAAAAGTTTGGCATAGAAAAGAAGACTAGGCAAATCATTTTATTTTTTATTTTTAAAAATTTAGTGACGAGGCTGTAGATTTTCGACCTACAAATGAACGGTCAAGTTTTCTGCTTAACTGATTATACAGCGATGGAGAGTCTTGAAGTTGTGGCCTTGACGATATTATGGTGATAGAGAGACCTAGATTTGAGATCTTAATGATGATACGAAGTTGTGGACTCTTTATCTTCTTTGAGTGATATTTATGTATCTTTATCTAAGTTCTAAGCTTACCCATGAGGATTTGCCTTCACCGAACCTCTTTAATACGTCTAAGGTTTTTCTTTTATAGTCGTTGTTGCTCCTAGCTTGCGTGGAGACGAGGAGTCTATTTTTACTTTCTCGTAAGGATGGTGTAGCGTCTTTTCATCTCCTGACAAGTATGGTGATGTTTTTAGAAAAGTGTTATTTTCTACCTTAAACTGTGATCTCTACGTGTGGAATGATTTCTCATTTAATGCTTGTTTTATCAATATTTTCTTCTTGGTGCTTGGTAACAACGTGCCGTAATATCATAAAATTAATTATTTCTTCTTTTTTCTCATTCGACTCAATTACGAAACTGTAGTTAAGGCACACTCGTCGCTATGCGACATCGGACCGAGACTCTTGAAAAGAAAATTAAAAGTTTGAACGTTAATCAATTATAAGATTATTTGCGAGTTTTGGAGTCGTCACCTATTATTTTAGGAACTAGGAACCTAAAAGTAGCATCGATTCATAGATTCTTAAGGTAAGGAATTGATTATGCTTTTAGGAAAATCTTTAATCACCTAAAAGCGCCCTTTTCGAAAAAAGATACCATGCACGGTTTAGTCATAAATTATCTCCTAAAAATCCATGTCAAGATATTTTCTAATCTTTAAACTCCTACTTTTTTTAGATTAAATAAATTTTTTAGTTTTGGGCGTGGCATCATATTGAAACGATCGTCGGTCCCTATGTTGGGTGACACGTTGATTCAAACATCGGATCCACTAAAAGCCTTAACACAACCGGCGTGTCGGAGGACGTCTTGATTAAAAGGTAATTTTTTTCCGTATGGCGTTAGTCCCTATCAAATAAGAGACTTCGTCATTTGTTTTTTTAGGCATTTTTTTTGTGACGTCAATCCCTATCATATATGAGACTTCGTCAAAATTTTATATATGTATATAATTTTCTAGCAATACAATATTAAAAAAAAAACTGAAATAAAAGTTCTAAATTAATAAAGAAAACTACAAGAAGTAAAATAAATAGGCTAAAAATTAAATAAAAATAAAATACAAAATAAATAAGAAAATCGTCCTATGTAAGTAGGTAAAAAAATAATTGACGATAAAAGTAAATAAAAAAAAATTCTATACCTAAAATATTTTATAATTTTTCTTTTTTTTACCCATCCCCCTTTTTTTCTTATTTTTTTTAACCTATTTTTTTATTCCCTAATTTTATTTTTTGTTTTATTTTATTTTTATTTTATTTTTGTTTCTTTTTTTTTGGAAGGTGGGGCTGTCGGCTAGGCCTCCTTTTTTTTTCTTTTTTGGAGAAAGGGCACGAGTCAGGCTGAAATCAGTCGAGCCCCCTTTTCCTTTTTTTTTTCTTTTTTTTTTTTGGCATTTTCAGCCTAGCCCCCTTTTCTTTTTTTTCTTTCACGGGTCGGGCTGGACCTCGAAGCCCGAAAACAAGCCCGCGCGCCCCTCTTTTTTACTTTTCGAGTCGAAATCAAAATTTTCCAAAGTTCTAAACTTTCTCTCTCATGTTCTTCGTGTTCTTCATTTTCTCTCCCCAATACCCAATTTTACCGGAAGATTACTTTCGATTAGCTTAATCGATCCGGCAAACCAAACACATCTAATCATGAAACAAAAAGGAAAAAATGCAAATAAAAAAAAACGAACAAACAAAAATCAAAGGGAATCGGACCCCAAGGTGACATGGATTTATTGAAGAAACAACCCGGATTTATTGAAGAATAGCCCGGAAAAACTCAAAACCTAAAACCCCAAAGTTGTTGATTTCTCACGATTTTAAACCTTTGTTGTGGATTCCTCGATCACTAAACCCCACACCTATGATATTTCCCCCCAAAATAGCCTCGAAACACCCTTTGATCGACCTTAGGAACAATGAAACCAACCCAAGCAGGTGAGGAGCCAAACCCGAAAAATAAGAACGTGAAGAACGAAACCCAAAAAACCCAAAAAAAATACGAGCAATCAAAAACTAACAATTAACCCTTTTGCTTTTGATTTTCGAAACCTCTCGACCCGAATTCTTCGCCCAAAAGTCCTCTCCTCTTTTTGTCAAAATTCAAACGTTTTATAGCCAAAACATTTCTTAAAATTGAATCGAAATCCCTGAATTTTCTATCAAAAATTTTCCTCTTTAATTCATGATTAATTGTGAAATTAAAACAAGAAATTCTCATTGATTCTCGTTAGTGTTGGTTTTGGCAACAAAATCCATGATTACTACACAATCAAAACGAGAAATTCATGGAGGATTTAGGCGGATTCTCTCAAAGATTTTCGAAGAGAATCTGCCTTGGAGCGAACGACGAGTCGTTTGCTCCATTTCGGTCCCGTCGTTCGCTCCAAACTTTCGGTTTGGTCCTCGCGTTTTCAATTTCAGCAATTACGCTCCTCTGTGAAATAATTTTAGTACAATCTCAACAACTAGGTCCCTAGAGGTGCAATTTAAGGCCTAAACTTTTTAATTGACTCGATTACACCCCTAATTACTTCAATGGTATCCCTGAATGAATTTTTTTTCTTCATCATTTCCTTTCTCTCTCTCTCTCTTTTTCTTTTTCCTTAATAAACTTCAAATTAAAAACAAAACAAATAAATAAATAAAATAAAATAAAAATAAAAAATAAAAAATAACAAAAATGCGGGTTATTACACACACAAAGGTTAATCCCATAGAAAATCGGTTCAATCTATTTTCTCTATCTTCGATTGTTCCAAAGTACAATTAAGATAAAAGGAGGAGTTTTGTGTATTAAGAGTAGTAAATATAGTCAAAGCAAATAAAGAGATACTAATAGTAATAAAAGCCTTGGTTAAAGGTTGGTTTCGACTTTTGGTTCAATCGTTGATCATCGATTCGGATATTAATCGTTTCTTATTATGAATATTCACCATAAGAAAATAATATGTATGTTATCTCCAATCTTTCCTTAATGATTCGTTAATCCAGATTTAATCCAATAACGGTATTAAATGATAGAAAGATAGGTAAAGTTAAACGACTCTCCTAAATGCTAAAAGAATTTAATCTACTTTTATGTTTTCTAAGAGATTAAATGAAAACTCATTT